TGCAGATGTCCCACAAATCTTTTGTCTTAACATTTGTTTAGAACATAAGAAGAGCCTGTTGCTGGATCAGGCCAATGGCTTGTCTAGTGGAGCATCCTGTTCTCACAGGGCCAACCGGATGCCTGTGGGAAACTCACAAGGCAGGATTCAACCAGAAAAGCACTTTCCATTTTTGTGGTTTCCAGCAACTGGTATTCAGAATTACTGCTGTCTCCGTCTGTGGAGGTAAAACATAGCCATTGTGGGTTGTAGCAATTGACAACTTCCTCTATGAATTTGTCTAATCCTCTTTTAATGTACAGTGGTACCTCGGGTTAAGTACTTAATTCATTCCGGAGGTCCGTTCTTAACCTGAAACTGTTCTTAACCTGAAGCACCACTTTAGCTAATGGGGCCTCCTGCTGCCGCCGCGCCACCGTTGTGTGATTTCTGTTCTCAACCTGAAGCAAAGTTCTTAACCTGAAGCACTATTTCTGGGTTAGCAGAGTCTGTAACCTGAAGCGTATGTAACCTGAAGCATATGTAACACGAGGTACCACTGTATTTTAATATTCTGTTGGAAGCCGCCCAGAGTGGCTGGGGAAACCCAGCCAGATGGGCGGGGTATAAATAAATTATTATTATTATTATTATTATTATTATTATTATTATTATTACTCATCCTGAACTGTAGATCGTTTGTCAACCAGCTTTGTCAACCAGACTGTGTCAGCCAAATCACCTCTACTTATATATTTCTTGGCACTTTCTAAGAACTCTAATAGATTCATGAGACGGACTTGTCCTTGCAGAAGCCATGCTGTCTCTGCATCAGTAAGGCTTCTCCTTCTATATGCTTGGTTTTGTTTTTAAATTGATAACATTTTGAAGAAATAAAGTGAAATTGGGTCTTTGGATCCAATTCCTGCCTGGCGGAACTTGCACTGCACAATGGAGCTCGTGACAGCTTTGCCAGCTTCCCGCTCGAGTCTGGACTGTCTGTTGGCCTGGATCTGAGATACTTGCCCACTGTGTGCCTATTGTAGACAGTGGTGAGCTAAATGGCAGCTTCCTATGTTCCTAAGTGACCTATCCAGGCAATGAGGTGGTTTTTTCATCTATCTATTTATCTCTGACCCCCTGTTCCTGCCCCATCACCTTCCAGCTCCCGGAAGGTAACTGTCTGAAGCAAGGAGCCTTCAGAATGGGAAAGAGCTCAAACCCGTACAACAGTTTATTGTCCCTCCTTCGTAATTCCTGAATAGGGTTTCAGTCTCCCATGTTCCATGCCTTTGGACTTTTGGGGCCATTCCCCCACTTCCAGTATTTATCTGCTGATTTTTTGTACTATTGCTTACCCCAGATTTAACCTGAGTCTACCAGTCCTTCTGTCTCTTGTGACTGCATGGTGCAATTTTGGCTAAGAATAAAAGCGCAGGAAGACTTGAATCAGTATAGATGGTTTTCTTGCAGGCTAAATGGACTCTTGTTGCTGCTTCGGGTGCATGCTCTTTTCCTGGAGCCTGTGGCTTGGCTCGCTTGCCAGAGCCGCCTCTTTGTCCTGCAGGCAGTTCTTACCTCCTTGTGATTTGCTGTGGTCTGGATTATGGAGGGTGGTGGGTGGTTGCTTGAGCTCACCAGCAGGGGGCTGAGCTGGCCACCCTTTTTCTCCTTCCAAAAATTCTGTTAGAGGCCTCCATAGTACTCTGTGTATGAGGGATGCACTGGAATGAGTGACGGCCATTGGTAAGAATGGGCATCCGGGAAACCTTGAACCATCTTGCATTACACAACGGAACGGTCTTAAGGAATGAATGAGCTCATCTTTGGACCTCTTGCCATCCCTGGTTGAGCTCTGCCCCTCCATCCTGCACATCAAATCTACCTCACCTTGGACTGTGACCTCAAGATAACACATTGCAGACAGGCCAGAGAGCAGTGCCATAAAGTGGTTTCTTCTAAACCAAGAGAGATGCCTGGAAGTCCGAAACCCTTATCCTGCCAGTTACGGGTTGGCTGTTTTTGCTTGGTGGGGAGGGAGAGGCACTCTGCACACGCTCAGAGGCACAGTCCAGTCTCATATTGCTGAGCTCTGCATCCTGTCTCCAACAGAGATGGTGCTCTAATGACTCCCTTGGCGAGGGGGAGTGAAGAGAGAGCTCCGCTTCTGGCAGCAAGGAGCTGAACTGACTGATGTGTGATGTGCAAGGCAGAGACTTTGCCCATTGCCTTTGCTAAGCCGGGAAATGGCCAAGGGTTACACAGCAGAAATGCAATGCAAGGGAGTTTGGCCCCTGCCTTGCCTCACAAGCAGACACTCAAGAAGGAGTCCAAACCCAAGGGAGTTGCTGAGATGGAAGGGGACAGGCTCCAGGACCTCTCAAGCTCTCGGGGTGTCAAATGTGGGGTGACAACGGCCACATCCAGACCATGCATTTAAAGCGCCATGATACCACTTTAAAAAGCCATGGCTTCCCCCAAAGAATTATGGGAGATGTAGTTTGTTGAGGGTACTGAGAGTTGTAAGGAGACCAGTTTCTCTCCCAGAACTACAATACCCAGAGTTCCCTGGGAAGGGAGATTGGCTGCTAAACCACTGGGAATGGTAGTCATGGGAAGGAAAAGGGGTCCTCTCACAGCTCTCAGCACCCTTCACAAACTACAGCTCCCATAATGCTTTGGGAGAAGCCACAACTGTTTAAAGTGATATCGTGGTGTTTTAAATATATGGTGACCAACTGTCTTGAGAGTGTGATTTCCTGGTTAATGTGAGCACAGGCAGGCAGCCTTCTGTTTTTGTACAGCTCTGGCTGATGCGTGAGCAGCATTTTTGCTTCCTGCTGCGGCTTATGTATCAATAAAATAAAAAAAAGGAGAATGAAATACCAGAGATTTGGAGAGACATCATAGTAACTACTGCCATACACGTGTATTTGTAAATGTGTGTGTGTAGAATGGGAAAGAATTGGTTCAGTCCATGTTTAAAGGTGAACTACCTAATTTGTGCCATCCCAAACAATCAGCAAACCACAATATAACCTTCCTTTGAAATTCACGCTCCTTTGAATTTTGCAGCGTGGTTTTCCAGGCGAGTAACGGGTACAAAAATGCATACTGGAAGGAAGTGTACATAAAAATGCATAGGTTTATGCAGATAGCAGACAAAGGTGCATTGCATCGGGGGAAATTCTTACAAAAGCATGTCTAATTTAGGGGAAATTCATGCTATCATAGAACTGTGTGTGTGTGTGTGTGTGTGTGAGAGAGAGAGAGAGAGAGAGAGAGAGAGAGAGAGAGAGAGAGAGAGACTGGCAAGTTGTTGTTGCTTCTTTCTCCCAGAAGTCCTTGGTGCTATCAGTTTGTACCCAGAAAACATAGCTGACCTTCCCTGTCACCTGTTACATTCCATGTTAAGACTCTTACAAACTCCACATCTTTGGGCTTTTCATCATCCCAGTTTTTTCATCTCCATGCCCCTCCCCTCCTTCATTTTGTTTACTCTCCAGAAAACCAACCACCAAAGTGGGGAAGCAGCACTCAGGTGAGGGCTGAAGGTGAGTGGGGGAGAGGGGAAACTCCAGGCGCTTGCAATAACAAACAAGAGCAAATAAACTGTTTGGATTAGCAGTTCTTATCAAGCACATAAGACATTATGTCCCCAAGAAACTTTGTTTAACATCCAGCGGGGGTCCAGGGTGGGGGGAGTTGGCCATTTTCTTACTCTGGGGATAAACAATTTTGTTGTTAAACAGAGAATGGCAGCATGCAACAGGGCCTCTTTGGCAGTGGCTTCCAGACCTGGGAATTCTCTGCCCTTGATGTACACCTTGCCCCAACATTAGGATTTTTCAGAAAACAAAGTTATATCTTTCCCCTTGGGTTTTTGGGGTGGGGGTGGGGTACAAAAAGTGAATTTCCTTGGAAGCTAAACAGAGCTTTTTCTCCACCTCTGAAAATTACTACACAGAAGGCGAGCTAGCCTACCCAGTCCTTGGGTAGCTTTGGGTTCAAGTGTGCCTCCTCTTACAAGCCCTGCTCCTAACCCAATATGTGTGAGAAATGCTTATGGAAGGGGTGAGAGAGATTTATTTAACCGTCTCAGGGCGGTTCACAGAATAAAATCAAAATATAAAACCACAATATATATACAGTGGTACCTCTGGTTAAGAACTTACTTTGTTCTGGAGGTCCGTTCTTAACCTGAAACTGTTCTTAACCTAAGGTACCACTTTAGCTAATGGGGCCTCCTGCTGCCGCTGCACCAGCGGAGCACGATTTCTGTTTTTTTCCTGAAGCAAAGTTCTTAACCTGAGGTAATATTTCTGGGTTAGCGGAGTCTGTAACCTGAAGCGTATGTAACCTGAAGCGTATGTAACCCGAGGTACCACTGTATATCCCAACCTTTAAATGCTACAGGGATCTAGACAGGGCAGAATGTCCATCCCTGAATCATGCTGGAGCCATGCTTGGTAAGGGGTGCAATTAGACTAAAACACTTCGGTCCCTCTCTTCCTTTAAAAAAGAAACTCGGAGGGTTGGAGGTGGGAGAGCAGGTGGACGGGGCTGTTTTCTATCCAGGCGCAGACCAGACTGAGATGATGCTTTGAGGGAAGCCAGACATGGGACGGGGAAGCTGCCCACTCAGCCACCCATCATTTTATCCCAATAATACCCCACTCTCCTGGGCCTTCAAGCCACATTCTGTATGCCCACGCCTGATTTTCAGTCATGCCACACCCCAAAATCCATCGACCCTTTGTCTTTCCTATGTAGTTGCGCTCCATTCCTCCTGACCTCTTCGGTGCACGCAATTGCAGGTACTAGTCCTCATGAATTCTTTTGTGCGAGCGTGCACTCCAGCGCTCCCCCCCCCCCAAAGCGTTGTTTTGCCTTTCTGTCAGAGGCTGGCGTGGCTGTTTCTGCTAAGAGCTCTGCTTGCCCAGCAGATAAGACGGGGGCGGGGGCTCCCTTGCTGCCATCCAGTCCTCGTCCACGTTTGTGCTCCTGCTAAAGTCCAAAAGCTCGAGGATGTGTCAGCAGCCTGCGTGGAAGCAGGAAGAAGCTGCTCGGAGGGGTATAAATTTGGATGGGCAAAGCAGGCTGAGCCACCTTGAGGAGACAGCGCAAGGAGAAGAGGTGAGCTGAGCTGAGCTGCCTGCAGGGTCCATGCTTGAGCACTGCTCTTCCATTGACCTGGAGGGTGCTGATGCTGGGCTGGGAGCCCTGTTTGGTTCAGGACGATGGAGCAGGGGAGGTTTTGTGCTGCTTTGCTTACTGGGAACTTGAAGGGGGGAGGGCACTGCCTTTGTGATCCCCTTATTCCTATCCTAGTTAGAAGGGGAAACTTCTGGCCAATTTTAATCTGGTGGTTCTCCCCTCTCCTCTCCCCCCCCCCCCAGCTCACATTCAGGGCAGAAAAGCTTCAGCTGCCTAATTCTGCCTTTGCCGACCAAATGTTCTTGGACTACATCTCCCATCAGTCAATGCAACCCTGGCAAAGTCTAATGGGAGTTGTAGTCCAGGAACATCTGGAGGGCCCCAGGTTGGTGGTCTAAGTGATGTAGAAAATATGTCTAAGAGCAATGAGAGATGGGGATGGGGATGGGGATGGGGAATTGGGACAGGGCTGAGGCAGGAATTTGGAGGGGATGCTGGAACAAGGCTGAGAGTCAGATCAGGGGGCTGTGTTTATGGGAAGGCCGCTGATTTAGTTTTGACCCTTCTTCTTCTTCTTGGCAGATCTGTTCCTTAAACGGCGGTGTCTGCAACCCCCCAGCCGCAAAAGATGACTCTGAAGGCAGCAGCCTTGATCCTCAGCCTTTTGGCTATCACAGGTAACCCAGAAGGGCTCTGCTGATCCTGTTATCTGCACTCACTCTGGTCCTATTTCCAACTGTTGAATTCTAAATATTGTTCGGTCTTTGTAAATTCTCACTGACCCATTTCTTGTTGCGCTGGCTGGCCAAGGCATAGCTGGAGAAATGCTATATAGCTCAGATCTCGGAATGTACCGAGCGATGGTTGTCTTGCAGCTCAGGTTTAGCAAATCAGTGTGATTAACCTAAAATCTTGTGAGTCGGGCACAGCAGAATGATTCTTTACTAAAGAGCTTTGCCCAGTTGTTACAATTATTATTATTATGATTCCCTGCCCATCTGGCTGGGTTGCCCCAGCCATTCTGAGTGACTTCCAACACATAAAAACATAACAAAACGTCAAACATTAAAAACTTCCCGATACAGGGTTGCCTACAGATGTCTTCTAAAAATTGTGTAGTTCTTTATCTCCTTGGCATTTGATGGGAAGGCGTTCCAAAGGGAGGGCACCACTGCTGAGAAGGTCCTCTGCCTGGCAATAACATTGTTTGAGAAACCTCAATGAACTGGCCAGGAGAAAAGCAAACCGAGAGACTGGATTTCAGAGTGGAGGCAGATCAGGCTGAAACAGGGTGTCTGCTTGAAACGGAAAGGAGTATTGCCAAATCTGGGCACCGTAGAAAGAGGCATGTGGCTAGCCTTTCTGTGCTGGGCTGGCTGCATACATTAAACTTGGCAGCCTTGCTGATAGGCCTCATCTGTTTGAAGAAGTCTTGGTCCTGATGCTGGAATGAAGCTATATGGCTTTAGCAGAAATGTTATAAAGAATTAAGTAAAAATAGATTGTTAATGGACCAAAGTGGAAAATTTAAGGTTAGATTGTGTTAAGATAAATTATAGAACAAAAATTGAGAAAGATGGAAAGGATTTGCTGAAATAGCTAATTGAACTAGAATACAAAAAAGGGAGGTGTGAGGAGGTCGATGAAACAAGTAAATGAAAGGTAAAGATACAGAAATATTGAATGTGTTTTTAAAAATGTTTTTGTTTTTCTTGTTGTTTCCCTGTATTGCTTTTTGTTTTTTTTTGTTTTTTGTTTGTTTTATTTTTGATGTATTGTAAGGTATTGTTCTGTTTTGTTTAATTTTTTATTGTTTCTTTTTTCTTCTTTCTGTAACTTTTAAACCTCTAATAAATCTTTAAAAAAAAAAAAAGAGAAGAAGTCTTGGTCCTACCCAGACTTGATGGATATGTGCATGCATTCTTAAAGGGAAGTGTCTGTGTGGTTCTCCCAGTATTCCCAGAAATTATGGGAGTTCAGCTGTGGCTTTGCAGACACGTGGGACATTGGCAAGTGGCAGAGGAGTTGGGATGGGAGGCTGTGAGTCGGGTCACACACAGCACCAACCTGCTCCCTCCTCATCCTTGCAGGGGCCCAGGCCGAGATCAACGCCGACCAAGTGACTGATGTGATCTGGAAGTACTTCACCGATATGGGCAACAATGCCAAGGAGACGGTGGAACAAGTCCAGCAGTCAGAGGTCAGCAAGCGGCTCAAGTGAGTAGCTGTTTCCTCTGGGGCCGGTGGAGGTGGGGAGTGCTCATGATTAAAAAGTGATGTTTTAAATTTAAAATCTAGGTGGTTTTTGAGGTCCTCTCAGAGCCTGTGCAATACCTAAACCAGCAAACACACCAAGAATGAGCAAAATATAAGGCAGGGTTGGGGGTCATGTTTCTGTGGTTATTTTGCCGGGGCGGGGGGTGGAGGATTCTCCGGGAGATGATAATCTGCTGGATTGGGTGAAGTGCTGCATGCAGGCATTTCACTACACGTGGCTTGCCCTTGTTGGAGGGCAGGGGTGGGGAGTCTCTGTCACTGTCTCATGCAGCACCAAAAGACATGCCTCTTTGGGGGCTGCGCTGCCCCACAGATCAGCTGACTGGTGCAGCATCGCAGTCACGCCAGCCAGCCAGATGGAGATATTAGGTGCCAAACCTGGCAACCAAACATCTCCACTTCCTCTCAAAACGTGCCTAGTGCCCAGCTAATTTTGAACCCTGGCTCTTGAGGGCCAGGTGTATAGGCCTGGGGAGCCATACCTTGACCTTCCAGGCCTGAGGCGCCTCACCTTTGGTGTAGGGTTCAAGCTCTGAACTGCTGTCCTCCCTGAACGGGCTTAGAAGGGACAGGATCAGCCTGGGAACAAACCTCAGGGTTGGGACACAAGCGCAGGGGGGTATCCTGGTGGGAAAGGGCCACGGCTCCTGCGCTGCGTGCTGCAGCAGTGGAGTAGGATGGGCACCTGTGGCCACCGGGCGCCCGAGGGAAATCCACGGCAGCAGGAACGCTGAAACTCCCAAGCGTTTTGGGAGCCAAGGAGTTCTTGTCTGTCTGCTCACCTCTCTCCTCCTGCTCCTCCACAGCACCCTCTTCCAGGACAACTTCCAGGCCCTCAACACCTATGCCGGGGAGCTGCAGAACAGGCTGGTCCCCTTTGCCACAGACATGTACCTTCGGCTGGCAGAAGATTCTGAGAAGCTGAAGCAGCAAATCCAGAAAGAGATACAGCAGCTCCAAGCCCAGTTGGCCCCTCACGCTAATGACGTCGATTCAGCAATCAGCAGGAATATTCAGGAGCTGCAGGCCAAGCTGGCCCCTTATGCAGAGGAGCTGAAGACCCAGGTGAACCAGAATGCTGGAGAGCTGCGCAGGAAGCTGGAGCTCCTGGCCCAGGAGGTGCAGGCCAAGCTGCAGGAGAACATGGGAAGCCTCCAGACCTCTCTGTCTCCCTACGCCGATGAGCTGCAGCAGCAGGTCAACCAGAAGGTGGAGGACATCAAAGGGAGCATGACGCCCTATGCTGATGAGCTGAAGGCCAAGGTGGACCAAACCATGGCTGAGCTGCGGAACAGCCTGTCTCCCTACACCCAGGACGTCCAAGAGCAGCTGAACCGCCAACTGGAGGGAATGTCTTTCCAGATGAAGAAGAGCATTGAGGATCTGCGGGCCCAGCTCTTGGAGAGGACCGAGGATCTGCGGCTCAAGCTGAGCCCTCTCGCCCAGGAGATGAGGGAGAAGCTGCAGGGGGATGCGGCTGACCTGCGTGAATCTCTGACGCCCTACATGGAAGGCTTGAACAAAAAGATGGACCAGCAAATCGAGGAGTTCCGCCAGGTGGTGGGGCCCTATGGAGAGAACTTCAACAGGCTCCTGGTGCAGAAGGTGGAGGAGATGAAGAAGAAGCTGAAGCCTTATGCTGGTGAGATGGAGGATCACTTGAGCTTCCTGGAGAAAGATGTGAGGGACAGGTTCAATTCCTTCTTCGACAGCCTTAAGCAGATGGCCAATGAAAAGGCCGCTCTCCCTGCTTTGGAGGAATAGTAGAAGGCACCCTATATTTCTGACACCACAGCCCCAGCGTGTCTTCTGCTTGAAGCCACCACCGAAACACCACCGAAAACAAGACTCCTGGCAAGATTCAGGGTGCTGCAGCCCAGAATAAATGGGTGAGGAACTGGCTGTGACCCACTGGAGCCCCCAATGCCCCTGAATGTTTGGGGCAGTGCTGGCGGCCACATTTCTATTACTCTCTCTGTCCATTGCTGCTAACAATCTCCATGCACTGTTGTGTGCCGAGACACACACTCTCTCTGCTGAAATAAACGAACACCTCAGCAATACCTGCAAGTTGCTCTTTTGTCTCTTAATGCCCAGTCCACCTTGAAAGGGAAGGGGTGGGTGAGATGGAGGAATCTGATCCCAAATGAAAGTGTTTTTGAAGGGGAAAATGGGAATGCCCTTGGCTGAATGGTGGGGGTGGAGCTGAGCATCCCCTCACCCAGGGAGACTTTTATTGCAAAAATGGCAAAAAGGATAAATTCACAGGTGTGTGTTTTTGGAGGGGAAAAATCTGTTACACAAGTAGACTGCAAACTGATTGCTACCTGCCCCTCTGGGAATGCCTCCCCACTGCAGCACCACTGATTGAGTGTGATGCCAAGGAATGTTCACAAGCATTCAGTTGTTAGAGGGAAAGGTATCAGCCACCAAAGCAATGTCTGACACAGTGCAGGTTCTTTCAGCTGAAATGAAATTTCACATTGGGTGGGAGAAAAAGCTTACAAGGGACTTAGGGAGAGTCTATGTGCTTTCAGCAGAAACTGGGGTGGGGATGGTGCTCCCACCAGCAATGGTTGGAGGGTGGGGAACTGGGGACCAGGAACTGGGTCCAGATGGCATCTATCCAAGAGTTTTTAAAGAAATGAGTGGATGGATGGGCAAAAGTATTAAAATGTCCCATGCTACAAGCAACATCTTTCAAGTAGCTCCTCTTGCTGCGATGTGCATTTGAACAGCAGGTTTAAGACTCCTCTCTGTTTTCAAATAAGAATTTTGGCTTGCTAGTAGAAAACGCAAAATTATCACTAGGTTTGCGTGTCCTCAGTTAACGACTCCATTTTAGCAAAGATTATCTGAGCTGACTTGACTTGACAGGAGATGAGAGCAAAGCTTTGATCTAGCAGCAAGGAAACCTTTGAGGAACCTTGCAAGGCACATAGCTTTGATCTAGCAAGATTGGAGTTTGCTAATTACAGACCATGGGAAGGACAAAGTGGGGAGATGAAGTTTCAAAGCGCGAGGAGCTTTGGGGTGCTTCAGCCTTTAGTGTGACCTCTTGCAAGTTGATGACATCCAGATGTTTGGGACTGCAGTTCCTATCAACACTCCCTCACCCCCAAGCCAACATGGAGTCTAAAAATGAGGGAGGGCACCAAGTTGTGGAAGGTTGCTTTGGTGAAAGGGGCTGGACCATGCAGGGCACTATAGATTCATATAATTGTACAGTTGCCAGTGACACCAAGGGTCATCTAGTCCAACCCCATAAAATGCAGGAATCTCAACTAAAACATCCCTGACAGATGATCATTCAACTTCTGCTTAAAAACCTCCAATGAATGAGAGCCGATCACCTTCTGAGGTAGTTTGTTCCACGGTCAAACGGCTCTTACCATCACAAAGTTATTCCTAATGTTTAGTTTGCAATCTTCTTTCTTGTAAGTTGAATCTATTGGTTGAAACCACTTTTGGAAAGGTCAGAGGTCATCTTCGGGGAAGGAAATGTATCTCCCCTCCAGCACCAGGGAGTGCATTTCTGCCCAGGAAGACATGGGCTAGAGATTGCTGGTGGGGGTGAGTTGCATATGGAGAGGCCTCTTCTTTGGGGATAATTGGGGGCTGGCTGGGCTGCCCTTTGATACCAGCTTGGGAGCAATGACTGCTTGGAACTTCCCCTGGCCACAAGCTGGTCTTGGCTGGCTCTGTGCACTCTGACCTCTTCTGAATATTCGCACAGAGGTTTTTGCTGGGAATAGCTCTGTGGTCATTGAGAGCCTTGGCCAGGGACGTGTTCTGAATGGCTGAAGATTGGGGGGGCGCACCCCAAACTCCCTACAGACATGGAAGAGGTGGGGGAGGGTTGCTGTCATTGGATTGTTTTCCCTCAAAGCAGTTATTTCTCCCCACATGCCTGTCAATTTACAAATTTGGTGCCAGGGCAACTCATGTGAACATTGAATTAGGGCTCACCCTCATCTCCCATTTGTCTCATGCCCAGAAAATTCAGGTCAGACTGGTTTCTCTATTGTCCCACTCCTCTTCTTGGGAAAACCTGTTCTTTAGTTTTCAGTGGGAACAAACAGCAATCCTGTGCTTTTTGACTGAGTGCTAAAGAGCGCTTTACCTTGGGGACAAGAGGACACTGGTGCCATCTCAGCAGGGCCATGGGTGCCCAAGTACCCACAAAATTTTCAGTGAGGGGCCAGGGCCCCTCAATATTCTATAGCCAGGCGGTCTCTGTTGGGCCCTTCCGCTGCAGTAGTGGGCTTCGACAGAGCATGTCACAGCAGCAGATGGGCCCGATAGAGCCCATTGCAGTTACAGCAGGCCCCACCGGGCCTTTCAGAGGGCGCACCGGGGCTCCTCCCAGTGTGTGATGTCATATGCTGCATGCGTGACATCACACATGCATGCTGGGCGCCCACGATCTTGGGCGGAACCTGGCGGCCTGCAAGAGGGAGTATGGATAAGCCCTTTCTTTCCCTTGCTTGAGCCTTTTTTGGTGCTGCTACTTTAGCTCAGCCATTGGTACAAGATGGAAATCTGGTTCTGAGGCTGCTTTCCATGCCTGCATGAACACACTACAGGTTTAAACTGGCTTAAGCAATGTTCCCTCTTCCTGGAGAACCCTGGGGGGAACTGCAGGGGATCTATAGCAATGTTCTCAGGGGAAAAGCCATGGCAGTCCAAAAATGGCATAAAACTGTAGTGTAGAAAAGTCATTTACTCAAAGTAAAGTTGAGAGAGAATGGCCTGAAAGATGCATTTTTGTGGTGGTCAGTGGAGAGAGGGTATCAGCTTTTGTTCTCAGCATCACCTTAACCTGCAGTAACTCTGCCCATCCTGCTCAGGGTACCGTATTTTTCAGTGTATAACACGCCCCCATGTGTAAGATGACCCCCATTTTGGGGACTCCAAATTAAGAAAATGCCCAGAATTGTTAAGCTTTTTTGGGGGGCGGGTTGCCCAGGGCTGTTGAGCTTTTTGGGGGGGATTGCCGAAAATTGCTCACCTACCGGACAATCACACGTGCTGCCAAAGATGCCAATTATCTGCTCGCTAGCTGCCAGCAGCCACAAATCACCCGCCCAATTGCTGTAGTGGCAGCCAATCAACAGCTGGCCTTGCCATAGCCACCAATCACTTGCCCAGTCGCCACTGACAATCTCCTGCTCGCAGCTGCAAACAATCGCCCACCCCCCTTCAGGACTATCCGTGTATAAGACGACCCCTAATTTTTAACTTTATTTTATAACAAAAAGCACTGTCTTATACACAGATAACTAGGGTAATTATTATTTAATTTATGCCCTGCTTTATGTTTTGTAAGAAATCTCTTGTCAGTTTACATGCATCTCTTGCTAGAGGCCATGCTCACCCCTTCACAATGCTGGGACCCTCCCTTGGAAAGAGTTGAGCTTGCTCCTTCAAAGCCATTTCCTGCCCAGTTGGACTGCAAACCACTGAGCCTCATTGGTGGGATAGTTTTACATGAAATGAAGAAACAAAAGATTTGAACGAGGCAGTGCAACACAAACAAAAAACGCCGCTCCAGCTTCACCTTCCTGCATCTCAACGCTCCCCTGGCCAGGGTGGCATTGCCTGGGATGCAGTTAGCCCCCACCCCCCACAGGGTTCACTCTCTCTGTTTTCCTTTCCTTGAACTCTCACCCAGTTTGGACTAATTGTCCCATGATGCTTTCCCCTGTGCTTGGGCCAGGAGTTGCAGAAGACTGAATAACTGGGATGGGGAGGCAAAGGCCACAAGAGATTCCTGCTTGCGCCCCAAGTATAGAGAGCTGGGTCGATCAAAAGAGACCCCCCTTATCTCAGAAACCACCACCTCCCCCGATCAAAGTAAGCCCTCTGTCCTCTGCTCACGACAGATGCAGACGTCATCTCTTTGTCAATGTCTTTCAACCTTCGTGTTGTGTTTACACGGAACGAGGGCCAGGCTGGCTGGCTCTGCAGCCGTGTGCAAGGCAGTGAATGCTGCCTGGCATATATAAAAGGTGCGGCAGCAGGGCATCTACAGGAGCCAACCACGAGGAGACCAGTGCCCAGTATACAGGTAGGAGGACACAGGGGGAACAATCCCACCATCTGGGAGCAGCTGAGCAAAATACCTGAAGGAATAAGGTAAGGCAAAAGTGGTTACAATCTGGCATGTGAACTTTGGGTTCTAAGCAGACAAAGCACACCTTTCTGTTCAACCAATTCCTGTTTTTAAATTGAAATGAGGGATAATCATGCAGATGGACTTACAGCCTGGAAGGAGCATCATCCATACTCGGCCAAGTCTGACAGCGGAGATCCTTGCTTGCTGCGGCTGCACAGCTAACATGTCCCTTTAATGCCTTGTTGCAGAATCCTCGCTTCATCATGTGCATCAAAGCTGCCCTCCTAGCAGTGCTGCTGGCCACCTTTTCAGGTTAGGCTCCTAATAATAATAATAATAATAATAATAATAATAATAATAAAGGTGCATTTGGAGAGTGGGGAGGTTCTGGGTTGTGTTAGGGACAGCTCGGTGACCTCTGAGCATGTGTTTGTGAGCTATAGCCTTAACACAGTGCTTACAATGCTCTGCTTCTAGTCCCAAGTCCCAATCAGAGCTGCCAAATAGATTCAGCTTCTGGACACCTGGGCACAGAGGGGTTTTTTCCCCCTGGAGACCCCTCTAGCAGCTATATTAAAGAGCAGGAACGACCCTGAGCTGCAGAGGTGACCTCCCTGGTTGCCTGCACTGTTGTGCAACATTCTCAGTATGAGAATCCAGCAATGTGAGAGAACTCTGTTGGTTGCAAGTGGGTTGGCTTTTCCATAGACTGTCTACTTTTTGTCCTTTCCTCTTTGCCTCATCTGCACAGCTTCTCCAGCCAGTCTTCAGCGGAGCCAAGTTTGGGACTACTTCAGCCAACTGACTCAAGACAAGGGCAGCACGGAGCAAGCCCAGCAGCTGAAAGGAGGACAAGGGGTGAAGTGAGTCTGATTCACTCTAAGCTTATCAGTACGATTGTGCGCTTTTTCATTTCAGACATTTATCGTCCACCTTTTCCTCTAAGGAGGTTCTCCCTTTTCCTATTTTTTTATCCTAACAACAACCCTGTGAGGTAGGTTAGGCTGAGAGTGACTGGCCCAGGGTCACCCAGTGAGCTTCATGGCTGAGTGGGGATTTGAACCCTGGTTTCCCAGGTCCTAGAGGCTGACACTCTAACCATTACACCACACTGGCTCTCACAGAACAAAGGACACAATTGGTGGGTTTTCCTATCCACCCCTCCATTCCCTGATTGGTAGGGGGAGGGGTGGGAACCATTGTGGGGAGAGATCATCTGACATATTGGCAGAAGAAAGCAAGTGCAGCCAACAGGATCAGGCCCTGATGAGGCCTAAGGAAACTGTGCTGGGAACATTGACTGAAATGGGGTCCTGCTTGTGGGTTTTCCAATGGGGCCTCTTGCCTGTCACTGTGAGAGCAGGATTCTAGACTAGATTCCATTGGCCTGACCCAGCAGCCAGGATCTTCTAAAGTTTTTATTTTGAAAGATTATATCCTGCCTTTCCACTGTAACATCCTCTCAATTGACAGAAGGTACTGTGCATCTGCACCCCACAGCTAGAAATGGTTCTGGGGTAAGAGGGAGGTGAGAGGGTTCACCAGCCCTTAATATTAACTAGTGAGGGGAAGGAGTCTCCCCTATTGACCACAGGTACAGGCTTCCACTATTGTTTGGGCTCCCAGTGCATCAACATGCAGGGGATGACGATGACGATTGATTGATTAAAGGTAAAGGTAAAGGGACACCTGACCATTAGGTCCAGTCGTGGCCGACTCTGGGGTTGCGGCGCTCATCTCACTTCATTGGCCGAGGGAGTCAGCGTACAGCTTCTGGGTCATGTGGCCAGCATGACTAAGCTGCTTCTGGCGATCCAGAGCAGTGCACGGAAACGCCGTTTACCTTCCTGCCGGAGCGGTACCTATTTACCTACTTGCACTTTGACGTGCTTTCAAACTGCTAGGTTGGAAGGAGCAGGGATCGAGCAACGGAAGCTCACCCGTCACGGGGATTCGAACCACCAACCTTCTGATCGGCAAGTCCTAGGCTCTGTGGTTTAACCCACAGCGCCACCCATGTCCCGATTGATTGATTAATTGCCTTCTAAACCACCATCTCAAGATAAACACAAAAACAACAAATACATTTAAAACAAGACGAAAACCTGCTTGCTAATACATAGCAATGTATTTATTTAATCTTTAATTTAACTGCTTGCCTGGATTCCGAGCAGCATCGAAGTAAAGGAGAGTCCACCATCCCTTCATTCCATCCTTTCTCAGTGAAGTTGAAGCTGCCTATCATATAATGGCTAGGAAGGATGCAGGAATAGGTAATGGGCACTAGGAGGCCTGGTGTGGGAAGGTATCTTGCACCCTTAATACGTGGAGATGCTGGAGACAGCATCATTGCTGATGTGGTTGGCCTAGGAGCCAACTCCTAGGGACTGTGGGGGCTTTGGCCCCCACAATAAAATATATAAGGGGGCTGGGTCACCACAAAGTTGATGGGCATTCCCATTCAATTATGCAGGGCGGGGCTTACCTCGACCCCCAAAATATTTTATTCAAGTTGGCACCCCGGTATGTGGCCTGGTGGATCTGCAAAGGAGGACATATTTGGAACAGAGGCGGCTAGACAGTGACTTGGCGAGAGGGGATTGAAATGCAGTGTGGGTGGGGTTATTGTTTTTATTATGTATTTTGTCTTTTAATCCTGTATTTTTATGCTTTAACTGCCCTGGGATCTGTGGGTGAAGGGTGGTATACAAATTTAATAAATAAATGAAATGAAATAACCAGTGTTGTGTGGAACATATACAGTGGTACCTCGGTTCTCGAATGTCTCCACTGACGAACGTTTCGGAACTCAAAACGCCGAAAACCCAAATGCTTCCATTTTCAAATGCACCTCGGAAGTTGAACGGCTTTCACTGTGTGTTTCTCAATTTCCTCAATGATATTTGCAGACCACCTTTTTAGAACATTTTGGAACTTGGACAGTCTTCTGGAACAGATTACTTTCGAGAACCGAGGTACCACCGTACTTGCATTCCTGTTTGTCTGTTTAATGAGATACAATAATTGGGATTGGTACGAGCCTAATACAGTGGTACCTTGGGTTAAGAACCTAATTTGTTCTGCAGGTCCGTTCTTAACCTGAAACTATTCTTAACCTTAGGTACCACTTTAGCTAATGGGGGCTCCCGCTGCCGCCTCCCAATTTCTGTTCTCATCCTGAAGCAGAGTTCTTAACCCGAGGTACTATTTCTGGGTTAGTGGAGTCTGTAACCTGAAGTGTCTGTAACCCGAGGTACCCCTGTAATGGGCTCTCAGACTCCAGACTTTCTTTTCAGGTCTGTGTCTCCTCTGCAAATGTGTGCATTCTCTCTTTTGTTCAGAAACATGAAGGAAAGTCTCCAAGATGGCGCCAACTACGTGGGACACGTCCTTGAGAAGTTGACCCCAGTACACAGGGGATTCCAACCCCAGTTCTACCAAGATGCCGATGGACTTCGGCAGATCATCCAGAGGGAGGTCGAAAGCCTCCGGAGGAAACTTTCTCCTTATATGGATGAGGCGCACCAAAAAATCAGCCAGAACTTAGAAGGTCTCCGTCTCCGCCTGACTCCCCTCACAGAGCAGCTGATGGAACAGGTCTCGCTATGCGCAAGAGAATTGCACCAGCATTTCAAGCCCAACCTCAACGCAGAGGGTCTGTTGGTGGAAACTCCAGGTGCGGTCCAGAAGTTTACAGCCTCTTATGCTGAAAAGGCAGCTACCTTTATTGACCAGGTGAAGGAGATTTTCCTCCCATATGCTGACAGGTTGGCAACTGAGATCCATCGTACCATGGAAGAACTCCACAAAAGCACAACACCTCACACTGCAGTTATGGGCCAGCAACTCGGTCAGTATCTACAAGAATTCTCCGGCAAGCTCACCCGCAACGTGAAGGTTCTCCATCTCCAAATTGAAAGGAACCTGGATCAACTCAAGGTGCAGCTGAGCCTTCACCCCAACACCTGGGTTGCACATCCTTCCCACAGGAGCCAAGAAAACCACCAGCTGTCTGTGGACTCCTACCTGGAAAATATGGCTCAGGAGGTTCAGGAGAGAATTGAGGAGTTCAGGAGAGATACAATCCTTCAGATAGACAACTTCACAAGGACCACTGACAGGGAGATGGAAGAAATGAAGTCCAAGCTGTCTCCCACACCCTCATACTTGGAAGAGTTCCAGGAAAACTCCACGCCACTGGAAGACTTGCATGCCAAGCTAGACTCCCTGTGGAAGGATATTTTCCAGAGTCTCAATGAGCCGAGCACCAGCTTATACTGAAGTTTTGTGCCCAGGCAAATTAGGCAGTGGAGGCCTCTTTGAAATAACCTACTTTTGGGGTGGGGGAGATCAAACCCTTCTGAGCAGTAGTGGTTTCCCTAGACTGCCACATCAGACTTTAATGGTTGGGACCTATTTTGGGCACGTCGCTCCTCCTGTGGCTCTTTTATTCTCCTTTTCAAAATTACAGGACCTTAGAATTATTGGATACAGCTAAGCTCAATACATCATCTCTTGTGGCAAACAGTATTTTCTCCCCTCTCCTTTTCTCTATTATTTGGTAGGGGGTAAACATTTAAATAGGAGGCTACAGCCCTGAGAGCAGTGGTGTGGAACCTTCATCTTGCAGACATAATCACACACATCCCAATTAGGCGTTTTTGGGTCCAAAACATGTCCACCTGTCCATCACCTGACAACTTATGATGCTAGCAGCAATTCCGCCTTTCCAGACGCTGCTTGCAATTCAGTACTTTTTTTAACCTTGGTACCTTGCGGTGACAAAAAAAAAAGCACAATTGTGCCGAATTGCAACTTGAAAAGGAATCATTGGCTGCCAGGGGGCTGAGGGTGGGGCTCACTCACCTATCAAAGGTGGCACATACCAGGTGAGTGAGTTTTGAATCCAGTCAGTGGGTCATCCAATTCCTCACCCACACAGTTGAGTTTGCTGAAGGTTATGCTAGGACAGGGTGGTCCAAAGTGTGGACCTCGGCAACATTTGACACCCAGCCAGCCTTCCCAAAGCCAGGTAAGGAAGGTGCTGGGCTTTGGGAAGGAGATGTGAGGGTTCTGACAGGGTCTTACAGTCCTCCTTCCTCCTTCCCAAAGTCTAGTGAATGCTTCCCCAGCTTTGCGAAGGTGAGAGGGCTCTAGGACCCTGCCAGAGCCCTTGTGCCTCCTTTACAAAGTCCCAAAGTGTATTTCTTAGCCAGCTTTGGGAAGGCAGCATGGGGGGGGGGGCATGAGAGAAGGGGAAAATCAAATTTTGGCCTTCTTTTCTCCTGTGTGGCAAGACAGTGTGCGTCCCATGGGTTGTGTTTCAAAGCACACATGTGCCCCACTTGGTATGAAAAATTGGAACTCCCTCTGTTAGAATGATTAAGACCTGGCTCCCATCTTAATTTTACTCATGTTTTAAAAGTGTTAAGAGGCTGCTTCTGATATGGAGTACCTCCTTGGATCTCCTCTTAGCGGAACATTTTATCCCCCACCCCCCACCCCGGCAATGTTGATGATTAAAAATCCTGCCACTGTTTTCTATTTGATGTATCGTACTTTTATTATAGGTATACATATACTGTAGTAATGCTGTAAATATATATTTTGTAATAATATGCATTCATGTTGTTCACCTCTTTGGGGGCCTCTGGCTAAAAAAAAAAAAGTGGCACAGTATATAAATAAACTGCACCCTACCATCCCATGTTTTATTCATGAGAGGCCAGACTCTTGTGTTCACTGTGCCTCCTCAGTGTAAATTTTACTCACTTCTGCATTCACTCTAAATGCACCTAAATGCACTCTAAATGGGTAGAAAAATTGCCACATCAAGAGAAGCACTGAAAACTGAAACCTCCAAAGGTTTATGTTCATCATGTGAGCACATGGTGGTGACTTTGCCTAAACATTTTTGCCATGTTTAAAACAAGGTTCAACCAGCTCCCGTGACACCCAACTTTTAGCTACTGTGCTCAGTAGGAGCCAGAAAGACTGAAAGAGAACAATGAATGAAACTACTACCATTTGCCACTTCTGGTGCTCCATTTATGTAAATACATAATTTCTCCTGCAGTGTTTCTTCTCTTAGATGTTAGCACAACCACTATGCCTATGGAATAGGTAATACAGAAATGGCTGTGGAATCCTCAGGTCCAGTTTGTACATCCAATTTATGACTGTGGTCTAATGCAAAAATTCAGTGGCCAGGTTGCTTACTTGAACATATAACGCCAATCTTGGCCCAAGTGCACTGGCTCCAATCAGTTTCTGACCAATGTAAAGTGCTGGTTTTGACATACAAAACCTTAAATGGCTCAGGACTGCAATACATCCAGGACCGCCTCTCCTCATATGTGCACTGCATCCATCATCTGAAGCTCTTCTTCATGTGTCCCCTCCATGAGAGGTCCACAGAGCAGCAACACGAGAATGGGCCTTTTCTGTGGTGGCTCCCTATTTGTGGAATGTTCTCTCCATGGAGGCTTGCCTGGTGCCTTCATTACATATCTTTAATAATAATAATAATAATAATAATAATAATAATAATAATAATTTATTTGTATCCTGCCCTCCCCAGCTGGGATCAGAGTGGCTAATATCATAAAAACAACACAATATGCATAAAAACAGCCAACAATTTATTAAAATACATCTTAAAATTAATTCAGACAAATTAAAATCTGGGCAGATGGCAATTATCAGGTTGCAACTGAGAGTGGTTAATACTTGCCAGGACCAACTGTTTCCACTGATCATACAAGGACCTGTGAGCAGGTTGGGGGTCTCCTTCGGGCTTGTTTTATACAAAGGAAAGTAAGTCAAACTGCATCTTGCCCAAAGGCCAGGCAAAAACATTCCTTTTCTCCGAGGCCTTTGGCTAATTAAACAATCTGGCCTTTTAAATAGCGTAGTAGGGGGAGTGTTATTGTTTCTTGTTACCTATAATATGTATTTTTGTGATCCTTGAAGGTGGTATAGAAATTTAATTTTAAAAAAATGAAAACATGCACTAAAATTGCAAAACAACTGAACTTCTAGGTTTCAATTGCCTTCCAATAGTTGCGAAACTAAGCACAAAATATTTACCAAGCTCTGCTTTGGTTGCCACAAAGTAGTTTTGCACCACTTATTTACTAATCTCCCTCCACCCCCGCTGACTGTGTATATATGTGTGTGTGCCTGATCAGTATGAATCTGTGAACAAAGCAGTGCCGCTACACTTTCTGCATCAAACTTGGCTTCCTTGTCCTGCATTGTAAATGGCTTTTTGACTGTCTGTAATAAAGTAACATTTCCACTGGTCCTGCCTCTTGTTTTGTCTGAATCTGCAATGGTCTACCACAGTGCAAAGGGAGGGCTGAAAACTCTGGTCCAGGCATTAAACTTTAAGCAGAGACCCACCCCATCCATGTGCGCGTGCGCACACACCCCCACACCCCCAACTGGAAGAGCTTGGTTCCTGGATCAGGCCAAGGTGGACCTGTCTAGCCAAGCACTCAGGTTCCCACCCACACTGGACATGCACAACCCTTTAGGATGCCTGCAAGCAGCTCCTCCCCAGCAACTGGTAGACTTCTCCTGGCTCTGGAGGTTCTATTGAGGCCCCTCATTTCCCAGCGGCTTGCAGCCTGGCCAGGCAAGGGCTCGACTTGTCTTCCCACCCGGCCAAGTGGTTCCTGGTGGTGCCTTTGCCACCGGACTGGGAGAGGAACGCTTCCCTTTCTGAGGTCTAACCGACAGCAGGAGGATCTAGCAGCCTGGCTTTCCAGTATGCCCACGTGGACAGAAATTCCATCCCAGGGTTTCTCCCCCTGTTGAACTTCTGCCTCCCCGCTGGCCCTCTTATTTCTCCCCCTGTTGAACTTCTGCCTCCCCGCTGGCCCTCTTATTTCTCCCCCTGTTGAACTTCTGCCTCCCCGCTGGCCCTCTTATTTCTCCCCCTGTTGAACTTCTGCCTCCCCGCTGGCCCTCTTATTTCTCCCCCTGTTGAACTTCTGCCTCCCCGCTGGCCCTCTTATTTCTCCCCCTGTTGAACTTCTGCCTGCCCGCTGGCGCTCTTATTGAGTCCGCCGAGGCCTAGGAAAAGCCCGCGAGGCCTGCGTAGGAGTACTGCGCACTGATTCGGTCACACGACGCTTGTGACGTCACCCGAAGCCGGTGCCCTCTTTTCGGGCGGTGTGGGTGAGAATGCGCATGCGTTGAGTGGAAGTTCCGGGTTGCCGGAAGCGTGCGTGGGTCGCTGCTGCTGCTGCTAAGGGAAGCATGTCGGCCATCGGGACCCTCGACCCTGTCCGGGGCGGCGGGGAAGCGACCCCGGCCCTGTTCCGCCCGCTTAGCGCCGAGGACGAGGAGCAGCTGCCTGACGAGATCGAGTCCCTCTGCATGGCCTGTCACTCCAACGTGAGCCTCCCCAAGATGCTAGTCCTCACTCTGCTGGTCCCTTCTCTCTCTCCACCCCGGCTGTGGGGCCTCACCGTCCTCCGGGAGTGGCGGGACACTTCCTTCCCCCCGGGCAGCTTCTCAAGAGGGGGACGAGAGGGTTCTCGCGGGGAGTTGCTAAGACGCAGGTTTTCCTTCTAATTGCAGCAGCCTCTGCCAAGATGGGAGCCCCACTCCGCCGCCTCCATCGCCTCCATCCTATTCCTCCTCTTCTAGGACTTGCCCCTGGAGAGGAAACCCCTTTCTTGTGCTGGGCGACCCCTCTCAGGCCTTGCTGTCTTGCTTTTTCTCTCTCCCCCCCTCCCTGCCCCCGATCGGCTGCCCTCTGAGCAAGGACTTCTCCCCCCCCCCAAAAAACCCCACCCATGGTGCCATATAGTTTCTAAAAATCATTATTAAATTTAGGGTGGGGAGGGGGGGATAGGTGACTGTTGTTTGTTCGGTTTGGAGTAAGCCCATTGGAAATAGCGCCCCTAAGTTAGTCCTGCCCATTGACTTCAGCGGGTCTACTCCAAGTCGGGCTGTCGTATACAACCCTCATTCAGCGTTGGGGTTATAGGAGCAGGTAGTGTTTGTCTGGGATAAGGCATGTCTGTTACAGAGCTTTGGTGCAGAGGGGGAAGTTGTGGTGTCTTTGTATAAAGGGGAAAGGTGCTAAGTGTGACTGTGCAGCAGCCCAGATGTTTGGGATGCTGAGCCCTTGCAGTTTGCCTTTATTCTTCTTTTTCTTTATCTAGGGGGTGACTCGGTTGTTGCTGACTAGGATTCCCTTCTTCAAAGAGATCATTGTCAGTTCCTTCGCCTGCAATAGATGTGGCTCGACTAACTCAGAGATCCAGTCGGCTGGCCAGATCCAGGATCAAGGTGTATGCTATATGCTGACTGTGCGGAGCAAGCAGGTGAGTGGGTTTGTCTGCTTCCCATTCCCCTGTGGTAGCTTAAGGACCTTGATTTTGCTTTAGAAGCAAATTTGGCAGCTTTGAAGATTGGTTTTGGCACAATCGCTGCCCGTTTGGATCCACTGTGTCACAGAACTGATTCACTGTAAAGCTGATCTGGCTTGAGAAACCACAATTGGCAGAGAAGTAAACTTTCAATCAATTAAGCTTACTTTCTTACAATACAAAGGCAGCACAGTGTGTGGCTGTAGGTGGGCTGGGCTGCTGATGTCACGTTGCAGAAATCAGACTAAAGAAATCCAGATTTGAGGTCCCTCGGTGTGATCTTACGTTATATAAAAATTTAATAGCCACTTTTCCAAGACTCAAGGCAGTGTAGAAACCATAACCCAGATTACATATAGAAAACCACTCAGTCAGTGCTAGAAACTTACTCTGCCATTCCAAAAGAGATGCCTTTTACACCCCTCCTCCAGTGCAGAGTTCAAAAACGCCTGTGACCCCCAGGTTGCATAAAAACATAACTTAGGCATCTAGCAGGGTTTGGGAGTTGGATCCAGCCAGCAGCCAGATCCTTACACACTCCCCACCCCCACTCCCCATGAGCCAATTTTGACAGGTGCATGGGGCCACCCACCTGTCAGTCACCAGATGTCATTCTGTCAGGTGACCTGTTTTCCTTTGCCCTCACAGTTTTCAGTCAAACCATGTGGGCAAAGTAAATGGGTGTGTGTGCTCTGGATCGGAACTTGGGTCCAGTTTGTCCTTTAGAATTAACTGGTAACTGGATGGGGAAAAACCTCTGAATGTGTGACATCCATGATGGTGTTTCATACAAACATGTAGGGCCAGTGGTCGGTCTCTAAATGTTCTTCCAAAGTGGAATTCTGAAACTGGAAGGGAAAATAGCTGCCTTGCTCTTTGGAAGAGATACTTCGGTAACATCTGTTTGCAAATAGCTGAAGAGGCATTTGGGTTTTCGTGCCATTTTCTGTGGGGTAACTAACTGCCACCTGTCTCCATTGCACATTTAAAGGTTGGCTTTGGTCACCCTTTTATCTCTGGTTACCAGGGATAAACGGTAACATGGGCACAAGCTTCTAGGAAGAGGCAGAAGGAATGGGGTGGGCTGGAGCTGATTCCAAAGGCCTCTTTCCCCTTTCCTGCTCTGGTTTGGGTTAGTTGGGGCGGTGTTATCACTCAGCATGTGTTTCCCTTTAGTTCATGTGTGCTTTGGGCATGTCCTTGTCCTCACCCAACCAGGTGGGCTGCCGGGTTTCTAGACTGGTATAACTTCTCCTGTAAATCATTCTCCCCAGGATATGAATAGGGAAGTGGTGAAGACTGACTGTGCCACAGCTAGAGTACCCGAGCTAGACTTTGAAATCCCTGCTTTTTCTCAGAAGGGAGGTGGGTATATGGTCGTTTCACTATGTCTTGGGGCAGCTGGTCTTTGGGATGCAAGGAGCTACTAGCACATTCCTGACGACCTGTTCCGGAGGAGGAGCTGCTGTTTGAGGGTGTGAAAAGGAACATTTTCCACTGTGGGGCTTTTAAAGGGTGTGTGGAAGAGGCATTTGTTGTACTGGCTTGAACAAAAGGGCTAGAAAGCCCCTTGATCAAGCCCCCTGCCCAGTCAGCCTATAGAATCCAGATCTCCACTAAGTAGCTTCCTGCTTTCTGAGAGTCTGCTCTCGTGTTCCTCCTGATCTGATTAACATGAGAATTAACTGTTGGGCTGCTGGATCAGGCCAGAGAGCCATCTCATTCAACATCCTGTTCTCAGAGCAGCCAAACTGATGCCTCTGGGAAGCCCATAAGCAGGACTTGAGTGCAACTGCAACTGGCATGCAGAGGCTTGCTGCCTCTGAGAGTGGAGACAGAACATAGCCACTGGCGCAGGTAGCCATGGAGAGTCCTCCATTAATTTGTCTACCCCTCTTCTAAAGCCATCCAAGTTGGTGGCTGCTGACTGCTTTCCAAAGTAGTGGTGCTCCTTGGTTAAATCATTGGGGATGCCAGCTCACCCTGTGTTCTGTGCACCTGCAGTGGTTGTCAGTGTGCTACTTCCATCTGCTCTATTTTCTGAGGGCAGCTGGCGGGGGGAGGGCAGTGGAATTGATGGGGGTACGAGGCAGAGAAGGAATTGTGTTGCCAGGCTGCCTTTTGAAAAGCAAAAGTTGGGGCCTCTCTTCCCTGTTCTACCCAGTCTGGGGCTCACTGCAGAGGATCTGCTGCTGGCAGAATGGACTGATATCAGTCCATGAGAGCCAGCAAAGGAGCCAACCTCGTTATTTCTAGTAATAACAGTCACTTTTCCTTGCCAGTGTGGAAGAGTATAACTGGTGGGGTCTGGACTGCTGGGTAGTGATGTGTCTGCCCTTTATCTCTCCCTCCCTCTCACCAGCTCTTACCACCATTGAAGGGTTAATTGAGAGAGCCATAGAAGGATTGAAGCAGGACCAGCCATTCCGCAGGGTAAGCTGCTTGCAAAGGCTCCGCAGGGGAGAGCACTTTCTTGTCTGTGTGGGCTGACCTGTCATTTCATGGGGATTTTCGGTCAGCTGGCAGGGTGAAAGATGCATGTGTTGGGGACATCAGCTGCTGAATGATTTCTTGCTTATTGAACAAGATACCTGGCATTGGCAGTTGCTATGGCAGTGCTCATCGCACGGCCAGTATATTAAATGAATTTTGGGCTTATTTAGTTTTAGAAGTCGCCCTTCGGGAAGCAGAACTTGAGAACTGCCTAGAAGCACTGAACGCCCTTTTGGTTTGGGCAGCTCTATCGCAGTCCTGTGAGCCAGTAAAGCTGGTCCTAAATATTTCTAGCAGTATTGTTAAAGGCCCCGGAAGTCCAGAATATGGGTGGCTAACACCTTGCCTACCCCCCTTTTGGTAAACAAAGACTCACTTGTTGAATATGTCTGGCAATAACATGCAGCAAGTGATGCTGGACAAATAACAGAGAGCAGAGGATATAAGGCAGCTTTCTCTGTGCTTGTTTGTTTGATATTCTTTGCTGTAATGCAGGGAAGGGGAACGTTTGGTTCTCTGGTTGTTGTTGGACTTCAACTCTCATCCTCCCTGATCATTGGCCCTGCTGACCGCAAGGGGTGATGGGAGTTGTGGCCTGTGGTTTTGGATTTTGAGTCTGGTGTTGGACTCCCAAGTTGTTCTTCCAAGCTGGTCTGGATAATAGAGGCTAAAAGCAACTGCTTTTGCTTTCTGGACGCAGGAAACCCACCCAGACGTTGCAGAGAAGATCGAGGAATTCATCTGTAAGCTGAAGCGCTTGAAAGATGTGGATTCAGCCTTCACTTTTGTAAGTACCACCAGGACAGGGTTGCCTTTAGGTGGGGTGGGGAGTCTTGGCCTATCCTGGCATGCACCCAACTGTTCCCTGCAGAAGCAAACAGGCTCTTAATGGTTCTTCCCTTCCACTTCCTTTCTCTCTTGCCAGATCCTAGATGACCCCTCTGGCAACAGCTTTGTGGAAAACCCTCATGCCCCACAGAGGGACGAAGCCCTGGTGGTGACCCACTACAGGAGAACTGCTCAGCAGGCTGCTCTGCTTGGAATTGAGGTAGCTTGAGTTAGAGGGTGTCTGGCCTTAGTGGATTCATGAAGGCCCCGTAACTTAGTATTTAGGCAATGGCGTTCTAGTTCATGTGCCACTGTTGTTGATCGCTTGACCTTTGAGCCGTGCTGCAGGTCCTAAGAGTGTGCAGCAGACAAATTCCAACATCTCTGTTCTTTCTTAGGCTGAGGAATCCAAGGAGGACTTGACTGACTCTGTGGACGACCTACGGAATGAAGTGAGTAAACTGCCCTTGAGGTTTAGGCAGTCTTCTGGAGTACTCTGTGGCCTGCTTAGGCCTGGCTTGTGCCCTCTGGAGAGTTCCTGTTCCCAGCAGGGGTCACTCTACAGAAAGGGACTTAGAATCATATGATTGTAGAGTTGGAAAGGACCACAAGGGTGATCTTGTCCAACCCCTTGCAATGCAAGAATCTGAGATCAAGAGTCTCATGCTCTGCTGACTGAGCTATCCACTGTGCCCCTCTCCTGTATTCCAGGTGCTGCAGTTTGGCACCAACTGCCCTGAATGTAATGCTCCGGCCAGTACAAACATGAAGCTGGTGCGTATCCTTTTGAGTCCGTGAACGAGGAACATGTCACATTCCAGTCCGGTCATGTGGGGCCAATAAAGTGTGTGTGTGCAGATGCATCGGTCTTGGCCAAAGAGTGCGGTTCAACCAAACATACCTTATTCCTTTTTTTTAGTGGTGGAGGAACTGTGTCAAGGGTGGTTTGGAGTGCTGTTCTAGGGCTGGGATTCTGACAATGAGGAGATCTGACAAAGCAAAGAAGTAGGTCTTGTATCTGTATCAGTAAAACAGGTATGTGAGTTTAGCTGTTTGTTGGTTTCCTTGACTTCTCCTTCTCCAGAGATCCCTCATTTCAAAGAAGTCATTATCATGGCTACGAACTGTGATGCTTGTGGGCACAGAACAAACGAGGTGAGAGGCTTTTGGTCTGGCAGGGTTGATGTTTCCTCGGATGAACTCTGTCCGGTTTACTGTTTTCCTACTTGTCCATAGGTTAAATCTGGAGGAGCCATAGAGCCTTTGGGGACCAAGATAACCCTTCATGTGACTGACCCATCCGACATGACGAGGGACATCCTCAAGGTGTGGTGCTGTTTTCTCCGTCATTGTTCATTTCTTGCAAATTTCTGCCCCCAGAAACTAAGTGAAATGTCCTCCTTCTTCCGCAGTCCGAAACCTGCAGAGTGGAGATTCCAGAGCTTGAATTTGAGCTAGGAATGGGAGCCCTGGGTGGGAAATTCACAACTCTGGAAGGATTGCTAAAGGATATCCAGACTCTGGTGAGTTTTGTAATAAAATAAATGAATATCCCACCTTTGAAGGTAACGCCCTCACAAAGTGACTTGCAGTTAATGAAAAAACATATTGGAAGGAAGCTGTTAAATTAAGGGGGGGGGGACACCTTAAACCAATAGGAACTCAAAACAAATTTGAGTTGGCTTGTTGACTGCACTTCAGCTGGAGAAATGTCCTTCCTCTAGACAGGTGTGGATCTTGCCAGCAGGTGCCAACAGGTGTTGGTCTCTGGAGGGACAGGAGACAGGAATAATGTTACAGAATGGGAAGACTGAATCTGCTGGATGTGAGCAGAGTCATTGGTGGGCTTAGGGAGGGGGACCTGCTTTTGAACAGGGACTAAATTCTGAGTTGTCTCTTACAGGTGGAGAAGAACCCATTCACTCTGGGGGACAGCTCAACATCAGACAGAGCAGAAAAACTCTGTGCATTTGGCAGGAAGCTGCAACAGGTTTGGTGCCTCTATTCCTTTAACTCAGCATACTATGGTTTTCTGTTTTTTTGTACATTTTTTTTTTACTGTAGTTTGTAAATTTTAATTTTGCTGGATTTTATGGTGTTATTGATATATGCCTACTGATTTTTAGTAAAAGGGATGCGGGTGGTGCTGTAGGCTAAACCACTGAACCTCTTGTTTTTTTTTTTTTTTAATGATATTTATTAAAATTTCAAAGAATACAAGAATTACATAAAAACAAAAAGTAAAAATACAAGAAAATACAAAATACAGAGAAAAGAATAAAAAAACCCTTAAAAAGAAAAAAGAAAAAGAAAAATAGATCAATCTTTCCATAACTTACATTCATATCCTTGTTTCCCTAACCTCCTCATACTCCCTTTTTTGATAGTTAGAGATATTTATTAAAGTTTTTAAGATATAACAAAGAAATGAAAAAGAAAAAGAAAAATACAAAATAAAAACAGTTAAAAACACATTAATTTTCCATAGCATATCTTCCTTACACTTATTTCCCCGGACCTCCTCATACCTCCCTTTTTTGTATTCCAGTTCAGTTTGTTAGTTCAGCAAATCCTTACCATTAAGCTTTTACCCATTTGTGAACCTTTTTTTCGTATCTCTTAAAGCATTACAGCTGGAAACCACTTAGTTTCTATCCAACATCCTTCTAAGATTCATTAATTTTACAATATTTCTGTAAATAGTCTTTAAATTTCTTCCAATCTTTAAACCACTGAACCTCTTGAGCTTGCCAGTCAGAAGATCGGTGGTTCAAATCCCTGCGACAGGGTGAGCTCCTGTTGCTCTGTCCCAGCTCCTGCCAACCTATCAGCTCAAAAGCATGCCAGTGCAAATAGATACATAGGTACCACTCTGGTTTCCATCAGTGTCCCATGTGCCAGAAGCGGTTTAGTCATTCTGGCTACATGACCCGGAAAGCTGTCTGTGGACAGACACAGGCTCCCTCAGCCTAAAAGCGAGATGAGCGCCACAACCCTGTAGTTGCCTTTGACTGAACTTAACCATCCAGGGGTCCTTTACCTTTTTTACCTACTGGTTTTTAGTTATGTTTCATATTTGTGAGCTGTTTACTGTGTGAGTTACATTCTTTAGTTTCATTGGATGTCCAGAAGTTCTGTCGTTAGGAGAGAAGGAATTTTTCCCTCTGTACACTTTCTTCATGCCATGAGAAATTTTATACATTTCTATAATGTCTGCTCTTATTCACCTTAAATTCTGTAACCTTTCCCCATAGGGGAGTTTCTCCACCTCTTTTTGATGGTTTTGGTTGCCCTTTTTTAAAAACTCTTTTCCAACTCTACAATACAGTTGTATCATGCTTCTCAAACTCCTTGGCACTCGTACGTTTTGGCTCCCAAACGCCGGAAACCTGGAAGTAAGTGTTCCGGTTTGCAAACGTTTTTCGGAAGCTGAACGTCCGAAGCTCCTGCAGCCAATCGGAAGCCGTGCCTTGGTTTTTGAATGGTTTCCGGAGTCAAACGGACTTCCAGAACCGATTATGTTTGAGAACCAAGGTGCGACTGTTATCTTTTTTTGAGGTGGAGAACTGTGCACAGTATTCCAAATGTAGTCACACCATAAATTTGTATAATGGCAGTTTTATTTTCAGTTCCTTTCCTAATGATTCCTAGCATGGAATTTGCCCCTTTCACAGCTACTGCATACTGGGTTGACACCTTCATTGAGCTACCCACTATAATCTCCGAAGTCTCTCTCTGAGACTGCTAATATCGAGTGGTATATAAGCTAAATAAATGATGAGAAGGGCATTTGGGCTCTTTGGCTTGATGCTCCTCCTGTACTTGGGCTAATTTTCTGGCTGGGACGAGAGGCTGTGAAGCCTTCTCTGATGGGCATGCCTTTTCTGTTTCTCTCCAGGTAGTAGATGGGCAGTTGAGGATACATTTTGTCCTGGATGACCCTGCAGGGAACAGTTACCTCCAGGTACAGTGAACTTGGGAAAGAAGAAACAAGGGGTTGTTTAGCAGATAGTGCTGTAGCAAGTGCTGGCCATGTTGGTTCCTGAGAACAGGAAAGTTCTGAGAATGGCCCATTTAAAGAAGACAGGCTGTGGTGTATGCATGTGCCTGGCTGCTGAGTTTCAAAGTGCTTGGGGAGAAAGAGCACAAAATGATGGTGATGACAAGAGGCCTAAGATATTGACACTGCTGAGAACAGGCTAAGATGGCACCAACCCAGGTGTTATGTGACCCAGCTCAGCTCCCGGGACAGCAAGGGAAGAAAGGGCAGAGTCATTTGACAGAGCTGGAGACCTCCGGACAGTGTAGGATGGTAACGCTGGAGGAGTGGAGGTTACAACAGGGATGTATATAGGGCCACAGGGGAGTCTGTACCTTCCTTACCCATGTCAGGAACGGGACACAGGACGAGGAACGGAGCAAGTGCCTAAGTTTGGGGTTTGAGGGGCCTGGGTAGTGCATTGGGGGCTTGAGGCTGGAGAATCCTTGGCTAACACACTCAATGTTGAAAACGGCTTGAGCCAAGTTGCAATCTTTTTGGCTTAGCATCTTGGATTTTGAGGATAAGTGGGGAGTTTTGAGATTGGGGAAAACATCGGATATCCAGGTGCCTCCAAACATATTGCTGAAGAATCCAAGCATGCTTGTGCTCAGGCCCAGCTTTGCATGCCTTGAAAAGTATTCAAGAGAGAGAGGTGTGTGTGTATACAAGTCAGGGATGGGGCACCTGGTGTTCTCCAGAAGAATGCTGCACTCAATTCTCAACATCCCAGACCACCTGCTGCACTGGCTGATAGCTCTCATCCATATGCATGTTCCATGTAACTGATCTCAATATACACCTGCTCTAGATTTGGCCCTTGCACAAGCCACGTGATCCCTTTCCTAAAATGAGCTAAACAGGGAGCAGGCCATGGTGCCCTTCTACCCCCCAAACTCCCCAAAGCTGGTGATTCATTCCTTGTGGGCTGTGCAGGAAGGGTTTCTGTGTTGTATCCCCGCATAACACAACCGCCTCTTGCTGCCCGCAGAACGTTTACGCTCCTGAGGAAGACCCGGAGATGCGAGTGGAGCACTATGAGCGGCAGTTTGAGCAAAACGAAGAGCTGGGCCTCAACGACATGAAAACAGAGGGCTACGAAGCAGACGGCACTTCCCAGCGGTAGCAGCGCCACATAGAGGCCAGGACAGTGTTGTGCAGAAAAAGATGAACAGTTCCGCCTGTCTGGCGAAGGAAGGGTCGGCTTGTGACTCTCTGGATTGAATTTGACCCACGGAAAGCTTGCTAGCAGGGCTTCTCATAAAAACGAAAGCATTGCTTCTGGTTTGAGGCTCATTCTGTTATGGCCTGGGATTCTGTTGGTGCAAACGGCACAGGCCATCCTCTGCTTGATTTACTCCCCCAACTGGCCCATCGAAGTTAGATGCCCAGATATATCATTGCCCGGGATCTTCAGCACTTGGTTCTGTATTGAGTGCTGCCTCCTGCATGAATAGTGTCTGGCATTTTCAGTAAGGGAGGCAACATTGTCGGTCTTCTCTTCTCCCCTGTTCCCTTGCGGATGTTTGGTTTTTTTGCATTTGTTTTTCTCCAGAGCAATAAAAGTGAGGTGTGTGAAAAGACAACTCCTGCTCGCCCTCTGCTAGGGCCACTCTGCTCTTAGGAGAAAAATCAGGGATATTTAAGTCCTGAAGAACAATAGGGATATAATCAACCTTAGCTCCCTCTTAAACTAAAAGCTGGTACCCGACCTTGAAAGAATTGTATTTTCCACACAAGCAGCACTGATTGTCTCTGCTTTGCAAGGCTAGGGGCTTTTAAGTGTAGCCTGCTTTCCTCTTCATGTGTTAGCTAAGGCTGGGCAATTTTTTCTAAACACTTGTCAAGGCTGACAAGTTGCACACTTGTAATAGGGTTTGTATAGGGTTTGTATATCTCCACCTAGGTGTCTTGGCGTAAATTGGCCTTTGCCAGGCTGAAGCTCTCCAGCTGTTTTGGATGATCATCCTAGTGGGCGGGAAGGGCAGCTGATGGGAGTGACTGCTCAAAACATCTTGAGGGAACCAGGTGGACAAAGGCTCCTGTAAATTACGGGGCTTCTGAAGGTCTGTGTCTGTGATTATATTTTCTACCTGACCAAAGGTTTACATGGAATTGTTCTTGGCTCTCTGGCCTGTGCTGCAGTGGATAAGGTAAAGGTAAAGGGACCCCTGACCATTAGGTCCAGTCGTGGCCGACTCTGGGGTTGCGGCGCTCATCTCGCTTTATTGGCTGAGGGAGCCGGCGTACAGCTTCTGGGTCATGTGGCCAGCATGACTAAGCCACTTCTGGCGAACCAGAGCAGTGCACGGAAACGCCGTTTACCTTCCTGCCGGAGTGGTACCTATTTATCTACTTGCACTTTTGATGTGCTTTCGAACTGCTAGGTGGGCAGGAGCAGGGACCGAGCAACGGGAGCTCACCCCGTTGCGGGGATTCGAACCGCCGACCTTCTGATCAGCAAGTCCTAGGCTCTGTGGTTTAAACCACAGTGCCACCCATGTCCCAGTGGATAGAGAATACCAAACAGGAATGTATTGCTGGATCAGACCATAAATATCCTGCTGTCCTGTTTCCCACACTAATGGTGCTCTGCCCAACCCAGTGCCTCTGGGAAATCCACAGTTGGGAGGAGGTGAGGGCAGCAGCAGGCGATCGCTCATATTGCTCTGTTCCTGAAATGTGGAAGCCTCTCAGCCTGGCAATAGTATTGAGAGGCAAGGGTCATGGGGCTACAAGGGTGCCAACTTGAATAAAATATTGGGAGGCCAAGTAAGCTCTGCCCCGCATTACAAGACGTGTCACACGCACATCATTTGAGTGGCAATGCCCATCAGCTTTGGGGCCCCCTGGCCCCCTCAAATATAGGAGTTGGCTCCTACGCCTCCCTCTGAGGGATCCTAAGATAGGTGGTAGGCCTGCCTCTTCTCTCTCCACTCCTCTCTCTTTACTGCGTTACTACTGCAATCTCTTGGGACTATCCCAAAGCAGTGGATTAAAATAGAAGGGAGATTCCAACTAAACATTAAGAAGAACTTTCAGGCACTAAGAGCTGTTTGATAGCGCAACAGGCTCCCTCGGAAAGTGGCACACTTTTTTATTGGAGGTTTCTAAGGAGAAGCTGGGTGGCCATCTGTCAGAGATGCTTCAGCTGTGATTCCTGCTTGCAGGGTTCAGACTGAACGACCCCTGGGGTCTTCCAGCTTTACAGTTCTGTCATTCTGCCACCCCCATCGTTCTGCCCGGACACTGAGATCCAGCGCCGAGGGCCTTCTGGCGGTTCCCTCATTGCGAGAAGTTAGGTTACAGGGAACCAGACAGAGGACCTTCTCAGTAATGGCGCCCGCCCTCCCTTCAGATGTGAAGGAAATAAGCAGCTATATTCTCTTTAAAAGACATCTGAAGGCAGCCCTGTTTAGGGAAGTTTTTAATATTTAATGCTGTATTGTTTTTAACGATTGGAAGCCGCCCAGAGTGGATGGGGAAATTCAGCCAGATGGGTGGGGCATAAATATTATTATTATTATTATTATTATTATTATTATTATTATTAATGTTCTCCACCCCACTCGCTTGGCTGTGAAAGTCACCTTGGGCCAGTGCCTGTATCCTCCGCCTAGCCCACCTCACAAGGTTGTGGTGGGGAGGAAGAGAACCAGGCGATTCACCTTTAAAAATAAAATAAACTTATTTATTTGGTTTTTCAAATTACAGTTTTACAATCACATATCCAACACAAAACAGAAAGACAAGATTGCATCGAATCTCCTGGACTTCCCTCCTCCCTTTCATGAGTCCGATTGTTAGTCATTTCCTCCTGTGTCTTTTATAATAATCCAATTTTTTTACATCTTCATTATATCCAAAATTCACCATTAAACTACAAGTGTTATCAGGCCATTCACCTTGAGCACCCTGAAGGAAAAGGTGCGGATAGGCTTGCAATAATAAACAAGGGTCGCTGCTCTGCCCCCCCCCCCCCGCCCCGCTTGCCCGGCCGCCCGGTGGGCGCGGGATTATCGCCTCCCATCCCTCGCGCAGAGATGCTGCCGCTAGAGGGTGCCCTAGGCTCCCGCGCTCTTCACAGCCCCCAGCAGCTCCAACCATAGAGAAAGGAGGAAAAAAGAGCCTCGTTCTCTATGGTTCTGACTCCGTAGCCGACCTGGCTTCCGCTTCCTCCCGCCTGAGGAAGATGGCGGCGGCCTCGGCTTCAGCCTCGGGCCTGTCCAAGGCCGAATACCTGCGGCGGCGCTACCTGGAGGCCGACGGGCCGGAGGCGGACTCGGAGGCCAAGAAGCGGCGCAAGAAGAAGAAGGCGGCGAAGGAGCTGCCGCCGGGAAGGTGGGAGACGGAGGGAGGGAGGGAACAGGGATGGAGGGCCGGGGGTGGTTGTTGGCTCTGTCTCCGCCGCGGCCACCTCCTCCTCCTCCTTCCTGCCGATGGCGAGGAGACCCTCCTCCCTTTCCCCGCTCTGCTTTCCCCCTCCTTTTGAGGGGTATGAACGCATAGAAATATCTGCGCTTCTCTGCACGGCCTACGCCTCGCCTCGCCTACCTCGCAGGGTTGTTGTGGGTGGGGGTGTTAAGTGAGAATGGAAGGGAGAACCATGTGTGCCACCCTTGAGCTTCTTGGGGGCCAAAAGAAAGGGATATAAATGAATAAATGACGGTTGAATGCCAAAGTTCACCGCAGGGCAGCCTCGGTTGGTCAGACTGCCCGCCTTGCTTCTCAAGCCACAACGCCCATTTGTGTTTTTAATAGCCTTGCAAATATGCCCAAATATACTGGTCTGCAGCATTTTTTACTTGCTTGTTGAAACGCGGCAGATGAGGGATGGAGCATTGCACAGCTGGGTGGGGTGGAGGAGACCCTTCCTTGTCTAGCAGCCTGCTTGCATTTCATGCTGGGTTTATGTTGTACCTGTGAAATTCCTCCTCCTATACGACAAAGGTGAACAAGTCCAATTATCTCTTTCCCACCGGACCACCCGACAGAGCGTTCCAGGCAGCCCACTTGCTCGCATCATCTGTGTGGCATTTCATGACCTTGTCTATGCAATTTCTGGTTTCCGATTCCTACCAGATTAGTGCTGGAATGTGAGTCTTTTTATGCCTCCACCAATCTTCCATTTCCCCTCTTTCTCTCCTGCTGTGTAACCAAGCCTCAGTATCATTCAGTAGCATTGGCTGCCATTCATTCTATTCCCTTCCTGTCTTTTCTAGGAGTTTACTGTAGCTTTCAGATTGTAAGGTCCTATAAGGCAGCAGTTTGTGGTCTTTGTATGAGAATCCTGCAAAATGGCAAGTACGTTGATGGTGCTGCCCATAGAAGCCTTTAGCATGCCACTCAGCTCTTAAAGCAGTGGACCCCACATAATAAGAAAAATGAGGGTGCAGCCCACTTGTGCATTCCGAGTTTCTAACAGACTAGTCAGAATGTTGGGCTTGGATGTGGGAAACCTAATAACTAGGTAAAGGGACCCCTGACCGTTAGGTCCAGTCGTGGACGACTCTGGGGTTGCAGCGCTCATCTCGCTTTACTGGCCGAGGGAGCCAGCGAACAGATTCCGGGTCATGTGGCCAGCATGACTAAGCCACTTCTGGCAAACCAGAGCAGCTCATGGAAACGCCGTTTACCTTCCCGCTGGAGCGGTACCTATTTATCTGCTTGCACTTTGATGTGCTTTCGAACTGCTAGGTTGGCAGGAGCAGGGACTGAGCAACGGTATATTCTGACAGCCTAGCAGTTATCTAGAAGATTTATTCATGAGTATGATGGCTTAATAAATGGAAGTGTTTGTAATGCTACACTGTGATACTAATGCGATTTCTTATTCTAGAGAGCTGCTCTTTTTTTCAGAGAATACATTTAAACAATATGCTGATCTTTGATCATGTTATGTTATCTGTTTGACATCCAGAATTCGCATAGTGGATGATGATGACACAAGCTGGAAAAATATCCCTATTGAGCAGGAAAAAGAGGATGAGGAGGGGGATGATGGAGACTTGCCTGTGGTGAGTATTTGGAGGCAGTTGGAAACAGAGTGCTTAGCTGTACCATCACTTATTTAAAACTGTTTAACTCTCTGAGTTATCTCTGAGTTATCTGAGTTATCTCTGAGTAGTACATCATCTTTTCTTCTCAGTCGTGTGTAGTGAAGGTCAATATAATTTCCATTTTACTCATTGGAATTGGAGGGTTCAGACAAGCACAGATGCATTCAGTACACACTGTAACAAGGGTTGCTCAGCTGGGGAGATTTTGGCTTTGCAGTGCGACATGCCTCTTGGGATTGCCCAGATCTCCTGTCTTTCCTTCCAGGTGGCTGAGTTTATTGATGAGCGGCCAGATGAAGTTAAATGGATGGAAGAATTCCGAACCAGTAACAAGTGGAAGCTGTTGGGAGGTTAGTGTTCTGTAGTTCTTCTAATGGGATGATTATTTTGTGCTCTGTGAGATACTTGCATCAGGTTAGCGCTGCATGTAGGCACACAGCCAAGATGGGCACAAATATTTTTTTTGAGGGGGGAGTGAGGGGGTTCTTTTGTGTAGTTTTGTCTTTCTTTCTGTAGGTGTGGCAGAAGAGTGAGGTTAGGTGAACAGAGAAGTAGCTTAGTAAATGTTATGGAAGCGTAACCAAGAGATAGCGGTTACTGCGCAAAAAAAAATGAAGATGGAAAATAAATACACTTTACTTATTAGTGTTTAGGCAATGTAGAGGTTCGTTGGGGTCTTAACAAAATAAGACATTACGAGTCATAAGAATGCAAACTGTGTCAGTAATGGCATCTCATGTAGAATTCAGCTAGTGTGAACATTTTTGCTATGACGTATCACGTGTAATCCGTTTATCATGACTATGCTACAGAAGTGGGTCAACAGTGACCCTTCAATGACATCCCAACTCACATCATCCCCCAGCCAGCATAGTTAATGCTCAGGAATGGTGGGAGTTGTAGTCCAGCAGTATTTGCAGGGTGAAACAGTTTGTGGGAAGTGGAGTTTGAAAAAGAAGTTTGTGGGTTGTCAAAATAGCCTGTTGGGGGTTTACTTTTGCTCAGGGAGGGGGTGAGCATAGGAATGCAGGGAGTTGCCTTATGCCAAGTCATACTTTGATTCATCCAGCTCAGTGTTATAGGTACTGACTAGCAGGAGTCTCCCACCTTGAGATCTTTTGCATGGGCTCTTTTGCATGGAAAAATATGTGCTCTCCTCCTGGACAGTGATGTGAATTTTCCAGAAAAAAAATTTGAATTGGGGTAATTTGCATTGGAAAACTTTCTGATGCTCTAGAAGGTGATCTAATCTAGTGTGTTTATTTTACTTATACTATATTTAGTAAACAACACTTAGAAAGGTTGACTTTGTCTGACTTGCCTAACACTGTATTTTCAATTGATGTTCATTGTTACTAATTACCATATGAGATGGAATGCATTCTGCAGAAAGATAAAGCACTGGAACATGTTCCGCTCCACATCACCGCTCCTGGGTTAGTTTTCTAGACATTGCTGTCCTTTGCATGACCATTGCAAAAGCCACAAAACTTGCATATTATCATAATGTTATGGAGACAATTCAGAGGTCTACATAAACATGGCTTAAATTGCGTTCTTTTTTCAGATCAGAAGAAAGAGCCACAAGAATCTGATCGTTCTGTGACTGCAAATTCAACAAAGAGGTAAGGAGGGTATTTAGTTGAGCATTTAACAGCTCATGTTTTCCTGACTAGGACACATCTGTGGTATAGGAGGAACAGATGGAAAGCTCTTTAACTTGAGTAGGCTGAAAGCAAAGAGTAAGGTTACCATAACTTCCATCATAGAACTTCAGTACGCTTATGTCAACGTAGTGTGTGCACACTTGGGGGATGATTTCCAAACCATCCTCCATATCTTTGCAGAAGCTTACAAAAAGCTTGACCTATCGCTCAACATCCCAAAAACCAAAGTGCTCCACCAACAAGCACAAAACAGCCTCTCTGCCACAAATCCAACTCAAAGTTAAGACAGTGTTGTTTACTCACTGTTACGACAGTGTTCATGAAAGACAATCGTACTTGTCTACGAGGGATCACCAAAGGAGGAGGAGGAGGAAGAAGAAAAGCTCCTTCAGGATGATTTTAACAGCTGTTGTGACAGTGGCTTTAACCTTCTGGATTGGAGCAGCTATTTAACATAGTTTGTGAGTGGAAGGAATGACTAGCACTTTATGTTTGTAGCACACCAGCTCTATGAAATCTTTGAAGCTAAAGCACAAAGCTTGTTGCAGGCTCATTGAAAACAGACTGTGTAGGCTCTGCACAGTTGAAAAGGGCACAGTAAGCCTCCCAACATCTTTATGAACATAGTTAGAAGTGGGCTGGCCGTAGTGCGGAATAAGAGGGGTGTCAAGATAAATAATTAATTGTCACATGATTCCAAAGAAAGAGCATACATGGTGGACAGTTGGCATTCTGGCTGTGGTGGTATTGGCAAAGAAACTGGCAGTGGCAGAGTTTTAAGTGCCAACACCAGGAGGCTGAGTCAGCCCACTGGGTGTTCTCTGGTCAGGATTGCTTCTCCTCGCTTGCTGCCAGCCTGCTGTGTCAAAACCATATAAGGCAGCAAAATTTTACTGAAAGTGACTTGCCTGTTTGAAGCTTTGACTAATGTGCATTTTGGTTTTCCTTCCAGTTCAGACACCACAAAACAAAAAAGAGCAAGGCATTCGCCAGACCAGTCACCGCCGAGGAGACGTCATGACTCTCTGGACCAATCACCGCCCAGGAGGGTCCTCCGTGACTCGCCGGACCAGTCACCGCCCAGGAGGACCCGTTGTGACTCACCAGATCAATCCCCACCCAGGAGGGGCCGTCGTGACTCACCAGATCTGTCCCCACCCAGGAGGGGCCGCCGTGACTCTCCAGATCCATCACCTAAAAGGCATCATTCTGACACAGGCAAAAATAATACCAGAAGCTCGCATGGAGGCCGACAGGAACACTATGCTGACAAGCCCTCAGCCCATCAGAGGTGGCAAGCTACCTCTGACCTGTCACCACCCCAGAAGAAGACGCGTGATTCTGATGCCGTTCCGTTGGTGTCTCAGAAACGGCAGTTGCCCACAGGGGGTCTAGGAAAACAAAGCAACGCCAGAGGTGAGTAGATTTGTGGAAGCCTTTCTCCAGAGAGGAGTATGTTTTAGGAGAGTGAGTTATTGGAAGTCCTGGTAAACATCCAGTCACATTTGATAATTTGTTTTGATGCTTGTATGCCACTTTACAGACTCTGAAGCCAATAAACGGTCCCATTCATCAGCACCTTCACCGAGGAAGCGCCAGAGACATGATTCTGAATCCGACTCCAGTTCTCCCCCACCCAGAAGGAGTGCCAAAACCTCCTCAGATTCGGACCTTTCCCCACCACGGGCCTCTCGCAGTACACACTCACAGCGCCCGAGCTCTCCTTCCGACCTCTCTCCTCCCAGAAGAACACGGGGCAAGTCTTCAGACTCTGATTTGTCCCCTCCCCGAAGAGGTCAAGAAGGCAGGAGGAAGGCCCACAGATCCAAGAGCCCCCCTGACCTCTCACCACCTCGACGGGCCAAGGACACCAAAGGGAAGGATGGTATCCAAAAGGTGAGGACTTTGTTATTCAGCAGTAAATGTGCTGATTCTGTTTTGTAAGCATGACAACCATGATAAGAACTGCTTAAGAATTGGTGCCAGACTTTGCTTTTTCTTCTTCTCTCCCTGCCCCTTTTCTCTTTGTGTCTTGTGTTGTTTTTTTAATAGATGGTAAATCTGTAGGCAGGGATGTCTTGTTTTAATTGATTATATCTAAACTACTCTGGGAGCCTTTTGGGCTGAAGAGCAGAGTACAAATGCTCTAAATAAATAAATAAGGAGCTGTGGAACCCTGTAATGATTTCCTGTATGCTTTCCCCATGTGCTGTGGGGAATGAATTCCCTCGGAGGCAGCTACACTGGAATTGTATTGGGTTTAGTACTTTTGTGGAACTGGCACAAGGGTAGCATTTTTGACACAGCTGTTGTGCTGCTTTTGGCTTGCAGGGCCCTCAGATGCTTTCGGGGGGAAAAGCTGGCTTAGTGTCAGCTGAGCTGCTGAGGAAGGAGCAGCATGAGCTCAGGAAACAGCAAAGCAGCAGCAAACATTTGGAAGGTGAGCTGTGGGGTGGGAGGCAGAGGTGGAGAATGTGACTTTCTCAGGGTCACACAGTGACTTCATGGCACAAGTAGGACATGAATCCAGCCCTCACCCCCGGGGTTGTATGGGCACCTCTGTTTAAAACCCATCAGGACATGTCATCCCCGCCAAGACTGGGTTATTATAGCAGGAATGAAAGCGGCTTTCAGAAGGAAGTGTTCGGCTGTGACCCTCCATAGTGGAGCAGGGCCCACCAGAGTTTTGGGCAGGTCCTCCTGCAAATGCAGCGGTGATGAGCTGGGACTGCTAGTTGCAGGAATGGGTAGTTGCAGCTGCTGCATTCTCTAAAGCAAACCACTGTCCTTTCATACGGATGTGGGGGGCTATGATTGAAAAATGTGCAAGCCTACAGATATTTGACGCGGGTGGCGCTGTGGGTTAAACCACAGAGCCTAGGACTTGCCGATCAGAAGGTCGGTGGTTCGAATCCCCTTGACGGGGTGAGCTCCTGTTGCTCAGTCCCTGCTCCTGCCAACCTAGCAGTTCGAAAGCACATCAAAGTGCAAGTAGATAAATAGGTACCGCTCTGGCTGGAAGGTAAACGGCATTTCTGTGCGCTGCTCTGGTTCGCCAGAAGCGGCTTAGTCATGCTGGCCACATGACCCGGAAGCTGTACGCCGGCTCCCTCAGCCAATAAAGCGAGATGAGCGCCGCAACCCCAGAGTCGGTCACGACTGGACCTAATGGTCAGGGGTCCCTTTACCTTTTACAGATATTTGGAGTCTAATTGTTCACACCCAATGAAGTTAGCACCCAGCAGATTGAAAGGAAATGTAGATAGGCCTTTCACCTGTGAAACGCAAGAGCTGCTAGCAGTAGTGGTGTTGAGCCATACGATTTGTCTCGTCCTTGGCTCATTGTAAGTCTAAAAGCAAAGTTCTGCAGTCCAGAGACCCGCATTTCCTGCAAGCAGAAAAATACCAGTTCAATTTATCATTTACAGCTTTGTTTTACTACAGAAATAATCAAATGTTTACTGGGTGTGCTGAGTTCACCAAACGGATAGATTCGATGCTGCGACATTTTTCAGCCCCCTGTTGTGGCTAGCTTGAATGCCTGACTCCTTCTCCCCTGCTTCCCTCCCCCAGCTGAATCGCGACATGCTGAAACCGTTTTCCGGGACAAGTCAGGCCGCAAGAGGGACCTGAAGCAGGAGTTGCTGGAACAGCGCAAGAAAGCAGAGGAGAAATCCGAGCGAGATGAGCAGTATGCCAAATGGGGAAAGGGGTAAGCTGGTTGGTTCCTGTGTTCAGGGCAGAAGCCCCACTTCCCTATCAGACCACTGAAAAATGGGGATGTGAAAATTCACTTAACAGTGAGAAAGGAAGGTGTCCTAACACCAGCTCAGAAGATTGATCCTGACACCTCCTGCCTGTAGCATTGAGCCACAACTGTTACCCTAAGAGAAGAGCCGCTGTGTCAAGCCTTCCTTGGTGTGTTGCTGACTTGGGCAACAGCAGGTGACCCTTCTCTCTTTCCAAACCTCCTGTAGTGTCTTGTGCAAAAAAGGCAAGAAAAAAAGTTGAGTCCAGCCGCTTATGCCCTGCTTTGTTTTGTGCCTCTCCCTGCAGCCTCACACAGAGCCGGCAGCAGCAGCAGAATGTGGAAGATGCAGCGAAAGAAATGCAGAAGCCACTGGCCAGGTACATTGACGACCAGGACTTGGACAAGATGCTGCGGGAGCAGGAGCGTGAAGGGGACCCCATGGCTGATTTTCTTAAGAAGAAGAAGGCCAAGGAGAAGAAAGATACCAAAGGTCAGCACTTGCGGTCTCCAGGTGTTACTGGTTTGTGGCAGTGGGGAGGGTGGCTGTGGTTGACAGGAAGAGGCACAGTGCTAATTCTCGTGCTTCCCAAAGGTCAACTCTGATCTGTTACAGCTAAGAGGTGGAATGTTCAGCTTGGAAATAACTTTGACCCTAAGAGATGCACCTAAATTTTCAACAATGCCTTTTGAAAAGGATGGGGTGTCAGGAGTCAGAGGAGTGACTAAAGCTTTGTGGTGAAGAGAACTGGGCAAGAAACTCCCCCGTCATCCTTCTCTGTTACACCCAGTCCTCACATTCTACTTCTAAGCTCCCCTCAACAAAAATTGCTTTCTGGGGTGGGGTGGGGGGTGGGGAGATGTTGTTCAGGGCTGCTTCCTCTAGGAAGGCATTTTGTGATGGATGGCATATCAGGCATTCTGCTTTCTTGCCTTGCCTCTGTCTTCCTGTGAACCCTGTGCCTTGCACCATGTCTTCCCCGTAAATCACACGGTCTTTGAGGACCACTGTTGACTTCCTCTATGTGTGTTGGGTCAGTGCTAGCATAACTCCCTGGCTTCACTGGAAAAAAATAATTGTTGAAGCTGTTTGCTTATTTTCCTTCCCCTTCTTCAGAAAAGCCAAGATACAATGGACCAGCACCCCCACTTAATAGGTTCAACATCTGGCCTGGGTATCGCTGGGATGGAGTGGACAGGTAAGTCTGTCTGTCTGCTAGTAATGGTAATAGACGTTCTCCAGTTACAAAGAACCATGTGATGTACCCATGTGGCATTTCCTACATGCAATATTGACTTATTGCTGAAACAACTTCTGGTTTTGCGTCCATCCTCTGTCCCTGATCATGACACTGAAGCAGCATCCCTAGTGGGGTTTCTTTGTGAAGTTTGCGGGTGGATGGGATATCTCCATTCAGCTGCTGTTGGCAACTTTCTCATGACCAAGATTTGGGGCTGGGAAATTTGAAGGACTTGGTTGCACCGTGAAGGCCACCCAGTTCCCCCAAAAAATCAGCCTGCCCCAGTTTTTTGTTGGGTCACCTTATTGACATTGTTTCTGTTCCTGTAGGTCCAACGGCTTTGAGCAGAAGCGCTTTGCCAGGATCTCAAGTAAGAAGGCAGTTCAGGAGCTGGCATACAAGTGGAGTGTTGAGGACATGTGATTTTCCATCCTGAGATGCGATGGAACCTCCTCACAGTGCTGGAGATGGAAGGATCTCCTCTGCAACAGGGTTAAAGGGGTCCACCTATCAAGACTGTTCCAGGTGGTTTTGGAAGGGCTTGGAGGCAGCTTGCCGTTTCCAGGCAGAAGGCGAGACTGATGGAATTCCTGCAGTATATATAGACTGGGCAAGGAGGAGTGAGAGAGAGCCACCTGTGGTGCTGAAGCCCCAAGTCCTTTTTGGATGGAAACCTCTGGAAATCCACTGCTGGAAGAAACTGGTCTCTTCCATATTAACCTCATGGAGCAGTTGAGGTTGCTGCCTACCCAGAGGCACCTGAGATTTCCGCAGCTGCAGCAACCTCAATCAGCCTTACGTAGCCACCATGAAGAGACCAGCTTCTTCCAGCAGTGATCCAGTGGTGATTTACTAGCACATTACTCACCTCCTGGCCCAGCCTCAAGTGATTCCACAACTGCCAGCTGCTCCAGCCTCCACCTCGACTCTCCGTCTCGAGCAGGTGATCTTTGTCTCAGCTGTAGAGGTGATCCTTCCACTTCCAGTGAGGAGAACCCATCAGCTCAGATGGAAAATACACCTCACACTATCTCAGCACAGCTCCTGAACTGCCTCTACTGAGATTCATAGCTGCTTCTGCTCGCTGTTACAGGAACAGAAACAATGCTCACCAAGGTGACCCAACAAAAAATCAGCCTGCCCCAGTTTTTTGTTGGGTCACCTTATTGACATTGTTTCTGTTCCTGTAGGTCCAACGGCTTTGAGCAGAAGCGCTTTGCCAGGATCTCAAGTAAGAAGGCAGTTCAGGAGCTGGCATACAAGTGGAGTGTTGAGGACATGTGATTTTCCATCCTGAGATGCGATGGAACCTCCTCACAGTGCTGGAGATGGAAGGATCTCCTCTGCAACAGGGTTAAAGGGGTCCACCTATCAAGACTGTTCCAGGTGGTTTTGGAAGGGCTTGGAGGCAGCTTGCCGTTTCCAGGCAGAAGGCGAGACTGATGGAATTCCTGCAGTATATATAGACTGGGCAAGGAGGAGTGAGAGAGAGCCACCTGTGGTGCTGAAGCCCCAAGTCCTTTTTGGATGGAAACCTCTGGAAATCCACTGCTGGAAGAAACTGGTCTCTTCCATATTAACCCCATGGAGCAGTTGAGGTTGCTGCAGCTGTATTTGAAATCTCAGGTGCTTTTTCTGGGTAAGGAGCAGCAAGAGACAAGGTTTAGGAGGACTCCCTTCATTGAATAACGTTCCTTCTGCTCCTTGGACGGGTTTGACTGTGTTTTCTTGTAGCAGCTGGCCATGGTTGAAACCACTGGCTGGTTTGTGACTCTGAACATCCTGGTGTACATAAGCACAACATCTTCCTGCGTTTTCTGTCTTGCACTGTTGGGTGCACACACTTCTGGACTGTGCAGTTTTTGCCTGGGCGGGGAGAATGCTTTCCCATAGCCTTGTCCTAAAAGGACCAGCTGGAAATCCGCACTCTTGTATTTGAGAATAAACTCACCTCCAACAGCAGCTCAAGGAGCTAGTTGGGAAGTCAACGTGTAGATTTTGAAACCCTTTTACATTTCCCCTGAAGCGTCTGCTGGTGTCACCGAAGGAGTCTCTTCTGTTCCTGCAAAACATAGGGAAGCTAAATGCAAATACTTTGTCATAGGAAATGGGATTCTCTGCAGCTAAATTTTTTACAACCCTTTGTATTTTTGATGTACAGTTTGTAAATAACAACTTCCTTTTCCAGTTTGGTTGTATGCATTTTGTAAAGTTCTGTTACCACCATGTTTGTACCAGGGAACAAGAAAGATTTGGGCTTGAGCTGTTTCGAGTTTATATTACTCCTTTTTATTGAACACAAGTGTGTTTTTGCTATGGCAATATCCAAACATGAACAGAACTTGAGAGTACAATTTTATAATTTGGGAAGGAGCATAGATTCCAACCCCCTTTAAAATCCACGATGTTCAGCCATTAGTCCCTGAGGTCTGACCCTTCTGGCACAGTCACACTTTAGTCGTCTGCTTCTTTCCTAGACTTCTGTTGCTGGGCTAGGTACATTTGCAGTCGACAGACAGGGAGTGGAATATGCCTGCAAAAGAGAATGCAGAGCTTGCTTAAGCTGCTGCTGTTCCAATCTCTACCCTGCAACAGCCCAGCCAAACTTTTGGATGCCTCCCTGGGGCTTTTCTTGGCCACTATTTGGCTGGATACCTGTAAGCCTCTCGGTGGATGGTGGCAAAATCTTGCCCTCCCTCAGTCTGGGTGGGTTTCAGTTCTGGCTTGTAGTTCTTGGCCTTCTCCGCTCTCTTCAGCAGATAAGTGCTGCATGTTGTGGTTTGGCTTCCAAAATGGCCCTTTTGAAACAAAACAGAAACAAGCAGCAGATGCTTTCAGTGTCCGTTGGCAGAGATGGGATACAGTATTAAAATGTCCTTTGTCTGACACCTTAAGCCACAGCCATGAGAGGAGCCGACGGCTTCCTGTGAGAGAGCAGCCCAATCCACCACGTTCACATCTGCTTCATATATACTTGCAGAAGAGGTAGTTTAACTAGAAATGGGAAGGACTGAGAGTGGAGTAGATCGTTGAGGAAATTTGAAAATGATGCTAGGCAGTGTGCGTGCATCTTGTTCACTCAAGAGCTGATCCAATTTCAACTCCTACTTCCTTGGGCTTGAACAACAGTTGCATTTCCCTTGGGAAATATCCAGTGCCCTGAGAGATTGGGAACAGGAATTTTGGGGGGTGGGGGGTCTGCCTTTTTCACCTCTGTTCAGCTACTGAGCAAGATTGGGGTTTGCTATTGATGCCTTTAGGCTCTTGCCTGCAACATGTCCCTTTTTGGTGATTCTACTTCACAGAAGCTATCTATTTGGGGCAAGTTTTTCTTCCCTGACCCATGAAGAGGACAGCCTTCCCACCCCTCTTTGCCTTGCAGCAAATCAAGCCACTTCTCTGTCTATCTTAGTATTGTCTGCTGTGACTGACAGGGCTGAGGTAGGATGCATCTTTCTGATCACCTTTAGACCAGAAATGCCAGAGACTGGACCTGGAGCCTTATAAGTATTCGAGGATGTGACTAGGCAGGATTCCAGGGTGCAGTGATGGCTTTGCCCCCGAGCTACGGCTCTGCCCCAAAGCACACTCTGCTCAATGGGTCCCTTACCAAGGAGTGGGTGCAGCTTCCTTCCCAGGGGTCTCCGTATCGAATACGAGGCTGAGCTCCCCAGTCCCTGAAGAAGAACCTGTGTGCTGTGGAGTTGTCAAACTGGGCAGCCAGAGATTTCAGAGCTGTGCCTGGATGTTTAATGGGCTCCGCATGGTTGAGGAGGACAGGAAGGTGATAAGGAAGCTGCAAAAGGAGAGGAATGCAAAAAGGATACTGGTAAAGGTAAAGGGTAAGGTAAAGGACCTCTGGATGGTTAAGTCCAGTCAAAGGTGACTATGGGGTGCAGTGCTCATCTCGCTTCAGGCTGAGGGAGCCGGTGTTTGTCCACAGACGGCTTTCCGGGTCATGTGGCCAGCATGACTAAACCGCTTCTGGCACAATGGAACACCATGACAGAAACCAGAGTGCACGGAAACACAGTTTACCTTCCTGCCACAGCAGTACCTATTTATCTACTTGCACTGGCATGCTTTTGAACTGCTAGGTAGGCAAGAGCTGGACAGAGCAACGAGAGCTCACCACCGTCGCAGGGACTGGAACCGCCGACCTGATCGGCAAGCCCAAGAGGCTCAGTGGTTTAGACCACAGCGCCACCTGCAACCCTTCAGAAAGTATCTGCAGAAGTAGGTGAAGGAGGCAGGGAAGGGAATTATCTGCTAGCCCAGCTAGCTGACCCACATTAGAGGTGGAACACTGGGTTGGGATGTGACTAGGCTTCATTCCAGGAGAGCCAATGGAGCAATGAGGACTTCAAGCTACCCTATAAATGTAGCCTGAAGGTCTTGGGCATGATGCCAATAGGAAGTAAAGGTAAAGGTAAAGGTAAAGGGACACCTGACCATTAGGTCCAGTCGTGACCGACTCGGGGGTTGTGGCGCTCATTTCGCTTTATTGGCCAAGGGAGCTGGCATACAGCTTCCGGGTCATGTGGCCAGCATGACTAAGCCGCTTCTGGCAAACCAGAGCAGTGCACGGAAACGCCGTTTACCTTCCCGCCGGAGCGGTACCTATTTATCTACTTGCACTTTTGACGTGCTTTCGAACTGCTAGGTAGGCAGGAGCAGGGACCGAGCAACGGGAGCTCACCCCGTTGCAGGGATTCGAACCGCTGACCTTCTGATCGGTAAATCCTAGGCTCTGTGGTTTAACCCACAGCGCCACCCGCATCCCTCCTATAGGAAGTGGGACTCTCATATTTTGAAATTCAATGGGCTCCACTGTTTCCCTCCCTAAGCCTTAGGGGTGAAGGGGAGATAAATTTCAAGCAGAAAAGTACTACCCTCATTCTCTTACCAACTTCCTTTGCTGCTGGGATGAACCCTTACCTTGGTAACGGCGACTTCTTCAGATTTCCCAGCTTCCTTTGCCCCCCGGTTCTTTTTCAGCGTGATGAGCTTGGCACGAGAGTATGCAGAGGCATTCCAGCTACGGTAGCTCTCTCTGTGGACAGTCTGGAAGTTGGTTCTGTGCAAAAGTGATGGTGTGTGAGAATCTGCAGTGAATAGTCCCATTGTTAAGTCTCGTGTTACTGAAAGGCCTTTAAGCCAGTTTCACCATGCAGCAGTATTTGTTCTCTCATTGTGAAGGAATAGTGATTCATTTTATCCTCTTGGAACTGCTTTTAGAGTCAAAAGAGCCTGGTCTTACCTCGCTGACCTTTTCATGGTTGGCCAATGAAAACTGCCCTGGGTACACCTGTGCTAATGTAACAATACCCAAGAAGAAGATGCTGCACTTTCTCATAGGCAGAGGGGTCCTGGGAGAGGATGAAAGGGAACTTTTCTTGGGACTTTAAACCACTTGCCAAAGAAAAGTCAGTCCTGCGGCACCTTAAAGGCTAACAAATTCATTGATTTATGGCATAACTTTCCATGGACCAAAACACATGTCATCAGATGCATGAAGTGATATCTCAGTTGACGGGTGTAGATGCAGGAGGAGAAAAATGCAAGGTGGGAGTTGAACAGTCATGAGATGAAAAAAGTACCATCAGTGATAATTAAATTAGAGCTTAGAGGGTATGTTAAACAGGCACAGGAGCCCTTGACACAGCAAATTGGTGATGATTTACTCAGCACTGCAAAGATAATTATGTTAACACCTATAGTTGGGCAGGAAACCATGGTCTCTATTCAGACTCAGATGAACGTTATTGAACTTACTGATGAGTCGCAATCCAGCGGATTCACACTGAAGTTCCTTTCTCTGAGGATGGCCCCCTGCCTCCCCAAGATCAACAGCAAAGTGGTCTGGTAGGTCGAAATGTTCTCCTTTCTGAAATCCTATTTCTGTGCATTTATTCTTTCCCATTGGTGCTGACGCATTTGCCCAGTGTAGAAAATCTTACGCCATAATCAATGGCTTTGTCTTTAAGGTGCCGTTGGCCTCTTTGTGGTTTTGTTTTGTTGGTATCAGACTGACATGTGAAGTCCCTGCTCCTGTCTCTCCTCAATCCCAAACCTCTCCAGAATCGTTCCCCAGCACCTGAGATGCTCACCTGAAAGCTGGGTTAATTGCCAGGTTGTCCAGAGGAGGCAGGGCAGGTGCAGCCTGGCCAGGAAAGGCCCTTTGTTCTGGGAAATCACTTTGGTACTTGGTCACATATTCAGCTGCTGCCGGTTCTGAGGATTTTGTGATGGCCCTCTTCTCTCGAAGGAATGCCCCCTTCTCGAAGAGCAAGGGGTGGCTGGGGGTGGTGATGACATTTACTCCTGCAGAGCAGAAAATGGTGAACGATACCTTTTATTTTGGTGTGAAGAGTTCAGATCCTCAGCCTTGCAACTCCCCCTGTATTGAAGGCTGCGTTTAATCCTAGGAAAAACTCGTCTGGACTGTGTTCAGGTGGGGGCAGATACAGGAAGAGAGGAAACATTTCAGTTGCTTGTTTTAGCTCAAACACCTGACGCAGCCTCCAACTTAGAAGTGCAACTAGGCTTCCCATTCCTGCCCCAGCGTAGCTCTGATTTGGTAGAACCAATACTGTATTTGAGGTTAGTTGAATGTCCCCTTATCAAGCTTAGTTTTCGTGCTGCTGCTTTCTTCATATTTAGCTTTACCTGGCTGGTCTGGAAGCTCCCTCTTGAATCCCTTGCTTCCGGAGCTGTTCTTGACTGCAGGGCTGCAGGGCTGGAGCTTGCTTGGAGGTTGCGAGAGGGCGGATGCTCGTGGTGGGAAGGGGAGCTGGCAGAGAGCCTGGCTCTGGAAGGGTCCCTGTGGGTGCTGGCCTCCCCTCTCCTGCAAAGCAGATGGCCCCACAACTCACTCAGTAAATCTCACCTGCATGCCTCTAACTTTTCACCTGTGTGTTCATAAAGCTGTGAAGTGCTGTGATGACGTTATGTTTAGGAGCAGGGTGCTTTATCAAATGTACAAGCAACCCTGAACCAATGCAGGGTACTGCATAGAGATGCGGGGGAGAAAACTTAGTTTCTTCCCGCTTTCCTTAACAGAAATAATTCCAGCCAAAAGCTCCCCTTTCTTCCCTTCAATGTATTTGAAGCTGTTTCCCCCTGAGATGTGCTAAAAGCAAGAGGGCAAATTAAGTAGGTATTTGCGTGCTGAATTGGGAGCTCCTCCTCACCCCAGGGGACAGGGGGCCTCCCCCCCCCGTCTTTACCTTCATGGGATGCCCGGTTCTCTTGCCTGGATCCCAGACGACAAACTCTGCCCTCTGGGTGGTCTGGAGGTCCATGGGAGGAGGATTTGGGTGTGGAGGGGTGCAGGGGGGCCTCTTGCTGCTGCGTGGGTGCACAGCTGTTTGGAGCAGGGGGAAAGAACAGCAGTTAAGTGCTGGGATATGGTTGAGATCAGGGAAACGAAGGGACTGACCCAGCCCTTTCCCAGGCCAGCTGGGCCCCTCCTTCCCCTCTTACCAGGTGGGCAAGTGTAAGTTGCCTTGTAGTGAGAGAGCCAGCCCTTCCCAGTCTTCGGCTGTGCCAGCAGCACCCGTTGCTTTCGGCAGTTCCTGTGGCACTTGTGGCGGCTGCATGGGAAGCAAGCAAGCATCTGAGAACTAGGTGGCATCAAAGGGGCTTGTCTCTCTGGCAACAGCTCTGTGTGCCAAGGAAAAAAGGGATACTTTTTTTGTTATTTGTACATATACTGCGGGACGTGGGTGGCGCTGTGGGTTAAACCACAGAGCCTAGGGCTTGCCAATGAGAAGGTTGGTGGTTTGAATCCCTGCAACGGGGTGAGCTCCCGTTTCTCGGTCCCTGCTCCTGCCAACCTAGCAGTTCGAAAGCACGTCAAAGTGCAAGTAGATAAATAGGGACCGCTCTGACGGGAAGGTAAACGGCGTTTCCGTGCGCTGCTCTGGTTCGCCACATGACCCGGCCACATGACCCGGAAGCTGTACACCAGCTCCCTCGGCCAATAAAGCGAGATGAGCGCTGCAACCCCAGAGTCGGCCACGACTGGACCTAATGGTCAGGGGTCCCTTTACCTTTACCTTTACATATACTGCTTTATAGGCTGCTCTGTAATGGACGTTCTCTGCCCACCTTGATAGATAAAGGCCTGGTTTGGAAAATGGAAGGTGCAGTGGGCAGGATACACCAGGCTTTGTACCACTGTGAGGGCTCTGGGATCGGATCATTCCTTAAAAATCCAAGCCCATCCTCTCTGCAATGTGCTGCAATGCAGCTGGGCTTGCTTGCTGCCTGTTTTTCTTCTTCTTCTGTATGTAGACGGGCTCGCTTGCTTATGCCAAACCAGATCTATTTCCAGCAACGGAAGCTCTGAGTCAGGGGTGGAGAAGCTGTGCCCCTCTCAAGTGTTGGCGGACCACAGCTTGCACAATTCCCGAAAATTGGCCACGCTGGCTGTCAGAGCAGATGGGAGGCGGAGTCCAACAACACTTTTCATTGCACCTGGTCCAAATGGTTTGGGTTGAGTGGACCCGCCCCTGGAAGTGAGGAAGGGGGAATACGGGGCCTGGGTAAAGGTCTACGCATCGCCAGCTGCTCCTTGTCACTGGCTACCATTTAACCTGCAAAACCTAGAGCAGGGGTCAGCAAACTTTTTCAGCAGGGGGCCGGTCCACTGTCCCTCAGACCTTGTGGGGGGCCGGACTATATTTTGAAAAAATAAAAAAATATGAACGAATTCCTATGCCCCACAAATAACCCAGAGATGCATTTTAAATAAAAGAACACATTCTACTCATGTAAAAACACACTGATTCCTGGACCGTCCGCAGGCTGGATTGAGAAGGCGATTGGGCCGGATCCGGCCCTGGGCATTAGTTTGCCTACCCATGACCTAGAGGAACTTCACTTACCCACAGTCGCAGAGTTCGCAGAGGCACTCTTTAAAGGGAGGGCTCTCCATGTTGTGTGAGAGAGATCTTCACCGTTGCAGAGTCTGTGGCCGAGCACTGTACAGAGAACTGAAACTGCTCGGATTCCTGTACGGAGAGGCTTGTCCTTTGCTTTTGGCCAGAACTCAACTCAAGGGGTTTGTGCTGGTTGCTAAGGCCCACAAATCCCTCCTTTTGTTCTCCCCCCTCCTCTTTGCCAAGGGTGATTTGAATATGAAAGCTGCTCCCCAAGAGGCCTTCTGTATTTGCCAGCAGAGGTGTGGAATTTCTCAGAGCCCCAGTGCCTGGCACAGCTGGAGCACAAAGCAGGCAGGGCCTGTGTGCTTGTTGGAAGCTGGTCTGCAACTGGTTCTCTTGCTGCTCCATGCTCTGCCTTCCTTAAGTTTTGACACACCATGTTTGCATTTCCTCCGATACAGTATGTCCAGTATGTTGTACTGAGATCCACCTCCAAGGGTCTTCTGGCAGTTCCCTCACTGCAAGAAGTGAAGTTACAGGGAACCAGGCAGAGGGCCTTCTCGGCAGTGGCACCCTCCCTGTGGAACGCCCTCCCTTCAGATGTTAAGGGAATAAAGAACTACACAACTTTTAGAAGACATCTGAAGGTAGCTCTGTACAGTGATACCTCGGGTTACAGACGCTTCAGGTTACCTATGATTCAGGTTACAGACTCCACTAACCCAGCAATAGTACCTCGGATTAATAACTTTGCTTCAGGATGAGAACAGAAATCGTGCTCCGGCGGCGCAGCAGCAGCAGGAGGCCCCATTAGCTAAAGTGGTGCTTCAGGTTAAGAACAGTTTCAGGTTAAGAACGAACCTCCAGAACGAATTAAGTACAGTGGTACCTCGGGTTAAGTACTTAATTCGTTCCGGACGTCCGTTCTTAACCTGAAACTGTTCTTAACCTGAAGCACCACTTTAGCTAATGGAGCCTCCTGCTGCTGCTGCGCCGCCAGAGCCCGATTTCTGTTCTTATCCTGAAGCAAAGTTCTTAACCTGAAGCACTTTTTCTGGCTTAGCGGAGTCTGTAACCTGAATCATATGTAACCTGAAGCGTATGTAACCCGAGGTACCACTGTACTTAACCCGAGGTTCCACTGTATTGGGAAGTTTTTAATGTTTCATATTTTGTTATGTTTTTATATCTTGCTGGAAGCCACCCAGAATGGATGGGGAAACCCAGCCAGATGGGCAGGATAAAATAATAAAAATAAAAATAAAAATATAAAAAGTCCTGATTGCTACACCTCAGTTCCTGTGCCAAGGATCGCTTCCTGACAGCCCCCTTCCCCTAATCAGACCACACATTCTGGAAGGCACCTGCTACTCCTGCAGAGGGCCGGCCCTGCTATGCAGCCGGGGGTGAAGTGGCCTCTTTCAAGCGTTGTGAACTGGGGAAGTGGTCCGTTTGAGGTCTACATTGGGCAGTAGTATGTCTTCGGCTGACACTTGGCATTGCCCTCCTAGAGTCTATATGTTTGTGAACCCAACTGTCCTATGAATCTGTTATCAACAGTGTTAAAATTTGCCTGCTGTGTGTAAAAGAGCAGGTGGTGAACTGCATCATACCTCCGTGTTCATAGGCATGCATGCATATCCGTGGCATATGCTCTGGAAACCAAGATGCATTTTTGCCAGGAAGAAACTGCTAGAGACCTTAGGGAACAAGGGTTGTAGCATGCTTACAGGTGTCATAGTTAAACGTGTGTGGATTTAGCAGGGTTACATCCCCCCAAATAGGGACATCTGGGAGCATATATTTTCAGGGAGTATTCAGAGACCTTTTCCTCCCTCCGTCAGGCCCCCAAATACTCGGCAGATGAACAAATGTGTGTTTCGTTTCCTTTCTATCAGCTCATCTTGGAATTGCTCTCTTCACTGTTGTGTTTCTCTGCTGAGTATGCCTTGCATGTGGGATGGAGTTGGCGGGTGGCAGCCTTGGTTGAACTAAGTGCAATCATAATCATTATTACTATTGCTTAATTTGTTTATTTTTTAATTTTAACAACTTACCGCTTTGCTTTCACCAAGTAAGTGATGGGAGGCAGAGGGAAAGGGGCATGGGCTCAAGTTTGCATGGTGTCTTGAAGTATGATGATGCCACAGACTTCCCCCCTAACTTTGGGACTGCACTTCTGCACCCTCCAATTTCAGTTTCATGGGTGGACATCTTGACTCTCCTGGCCAGAACTACTGCTGAAGAGAGAGGTTTTACCACAAAGAACAAGATGGTTGAACACACTGTACAGTCTCCCCTCCCTCTGTTAGGGCTCAATAATCAGGGGATTAGGAAGTAAAGCTGTAGGAGGGTGTTGCCACCACTGCCCCAAGATCTACCGCCTGAGGCGATTGCCCCACTCTGCCCAATGGCAGGGCTGGATCTTCATCTGGAATGCAATTTTGGCTGGATCTTTTCTTGCCTCCAGGGACTTTAACATACCTGCTACTGATGGACACTTAAAGGTAGAGGGACCCTTGACCATTAGGTCCAGTCGTGGCCGACTCTGGGGTTGCGGCGCTCATCTCGCTTTACTGGCCGAGGGAGCTGGTGTACAGCTTCTGGGTCATGTGGCCAGCATGACCAAGCTGATTCTGGCGAACCAGAGCAGCGCACGGAAACGCCGCTTACCTTCCCGCTGGAGTGGTACCTATTTATCTACTTGCAATTTGATGTGCTTTCGAACTGCTAGGTTGGCAGTACTAAACTTACCTGGTGCTAAATGCTGTATGGATTGAAAGAGGCCCTTTTGTTTAAAATAACTTTTTAAAAAATACCAGACGCTTTCTTATTAGGAATTACAGGTGCCGACATTCCAAAGGACGAGAAAAGACTTTCTATATACGTAACAACAGCTGCCTGGATGCTACCAGCCCAGAGATGGAAAGACGACAAGGTTCCTCCTACCAGAGAGGAATGGCAAAGCTGATGGACTATGTTGAAATGGCAAAGCTGACTGGAAAACTCAGGAAACAAGAGGACAAAAGCTTTACAAAAGAATGGGGAAAATTTATAAGTTATCTAAGAGGCCACTGTAAGCCGATGGAAACATTGGCACGATTTTGATTTTACTTGTAGCGCAACAATGGCCATGGACAATATGGATTGAAATAAAAGTTAGGGTTTGGAAGAAGATGCAGTTTTGATTGTTTAAAACGGGACTCCATGGAGCGGGTGGGATGGGGGAAGTCCTGAGATTCGGAGAAATATCTGTACAGTCATACCTTGGGTTGAAGTTGCTTCAGGTTGAGCGCTTTCGGGCTGTGCTCCGCGGCGACCCGGAAGTAACGGAACGTGTTACTTCCGGGTTTTGCCGCTCGCGCATGCGCAGACAGTCAAAATGACATCACGCGCATGCGCGGAAGCGTCAAATCGCGACATGTGCACGGGCAAACACGCAGACGCGGGTTGCGTTCGCTTCTGGATGCGAACGGGGCTCCAGAACGGATCCCGTTCGTATCCAGAGGTACCACTGTATATGGATATATATTTGGATTTTTATAACTTTGTATTGGTAAAATCAAATAAAAATGATTTCAAAGAAAGAAAGAAAGAGGCCCTTAGGAGGCCCTTGGTTCTGTAGCATGACTTTTGACAGCTTGCTCTGTGCCTTGTGGTCCCCCGTCCTCCCTGGAAAAAAATTCCTGTGTGGAGAGGCTGGCCCAGCGGCGGCAGAGGAAGCTGCTTGGGCATCTGGGGCGGTGCGCCCAGGGGCGGTGTGAGCAGCCCATAGGGGCAGGGCACACCGTGGGGCCTCTGTAGTCTGCCTGCCTCCTCCCACTCAGCTGCCCTGCAGCTGGGGGGGGGGGAGGCAGTGGGTGGACCGTTTGGGCAGCGCAGAGTTTGTGCGCGCCCAAGCTACCACATCTCTCCCAGGAGAGACGCATGGCTTGAGCACGCTACAGGCCCCGCAGTGAGTGCCACCCAGCATTTTATCACCCCCCTCAGTGGTGACACCCGGGGCGATCCGCACCCCCCACCCCCTTCCTCCGCCCCTGGGCTGGCCGCAGAGATATTGCCAGTCCTTGGCTCTGGGGTGGCACTACGCTTTCTGTGCGCCATCCGCCAGCCCAGTTGCCACCCATGTCCCTTTGAGTGTTATTTTTGGAAAGGCAGCTGCTGCCTTCAAAACCGGCGTTGCCGGTCGACTTTGATTAGCCTTAGCCATAGGAAGGAGAGTGGGGGAAAGGATATTAAAATCTTAATTTAATTTAAAATGCTGTCATTCACAGTCATAGCAAACACTGAGCAGGCTAATCATTATGCAAATGAGGCAGATAGAAAAATGATTAATAATTGTACAAATTAAAAATTATTGTAAACATCCTGTGAGTGGTGATAAGTCTGCACGGCACTGGCACACGGGTGGGGACGCGGTGCAGCCGGTGCTGGCATCCTGATTGTCTCATTAGCACGCTTTAATTAGGGAGTGATGAGCAGGAGCCAAGCAGCGTGAGAGGGATGGTGGGCACAGCAGCGGGGTTGGCGAGGGTGGCGGGTCAAGGAGGGGTGTCTGCGACTGAGCTGATGGGAAGGAGAGGGTGTGGCAAGTTTGGGTTTTATTTGGCAAGGGGGATTTGAAGGTGGCAGAGCCTTCATGTGATGGTTCTTAATTTTGCGCTCGATGCTGTACTCAACAAGGAGACAATGCAGCCTCTGTCCTCTGAGCCTACATTCTATGTATAATAATGTCCACATTTGCAAATTGTAAGATTTCCGGGCCTGGACGGAAGAGGTTATCACCACCAGAGAAGAATGGCTGATGAAGTTAATGGACTACGCTGAAATGGCTAAAACGACCGGAAGAGTTAGAAATCAGGAAGTTGTTGTTGTTGTTTAGTCGTTTAGTCGTGTCCGACTCTTCGTGACCCCATGGACCAGAGCACGCCAGGCACTCCTGACTTCCACTGCCTCCCACAGTTTGGTCAAACTCATGCTGGTAGCTTCGAGAACACTGTCCAACCATCTTGTCCTCCGTCGTCCCCTTCTCCTTGTGCCCTCAATCTTTCCCAACATCAGGGTCTTTTTCAGGGAGTCTTCTCTTCTCACTAGGTGGCCAAAGTATTGGAGCCTCACCTTCAGGATCTGTCCTTCCAGTGAGCACTCAGGGCTGA